ACTTTGTTGGTTTTGCTTTGTTGTTGACTTAACAAAACTTTTCTCATCAAATGTTTGACATGTTTTTGACTGTTTTTCGACTCAAACGAAGTAATGAGCCAACGATTTTTTCAAGAACATAATTGGTTCCCGGTCGCATTCAATTTTCTTTTTATCGGAACAAATTCTCTTTCACCAAATCCATTTCATTTTCGAAAATCTTTTTTTTACTTTGCATTGCAATGGATTTATCTGTTGTTATGGTGGGTTTTTCAAAAAAGTATTTTTTTTTTTTAAAAACTGCTTCAGGAACTTCCCGACAATCTCTCTGAAGAGCAACTCGAAGAGATTCGCCATATTTTCTCTCTTTATGATAAAGACAACAATGGGACGATAACCGCCAACGAAATGGGAACAGTGATGCGAGCATTGGGACAAAATCCCACCGAAGCCGAGATCGAGGCGATGATCAACGCGGGAGATGCGGATAGAAATCACAGTATCAGCTTCAACGAATTTGTTTTAATGCTCAAAAAGACGATGGAGACGCCGATACAAGAGGAAGAACTTCGAGCAGCTTTTCGTATCTTCGACAAAGATGGCAATGGGTTTGTGAGTGATTGGGGATGGGGTAGGCTGAAGGGTGAAAGCATATTGAAGATTAGGATCGCATATAGCCTGGCAATGGGTTTGTGCCCCCGACAAAGATGGCAATGGGTTTTTGAGTGATTGGGGATGGGGTAGACTGAAGGGTGAAAGCAGACGGAAGATTAGGATCGCATATAGCCTATTGAAAACTGTGAAGACTAGAGAAAGTCTCATATCTGATCTCTGATCGATTGGCCTCTTTTCATGCTGATTTTGAGGCTTAGAAAAGTGAGACTTAGCAAGGGAAATCAGTGTGTGTTTTCTCTTACTAAACTCCTTTAAGCTAACAATCTATTCAGCATCTGGCGATCGGAGTAACTGGCGATATTCATTGACTCATACTATTTTTCCCCTTCCTATTCACTTTTCCTGTGTGAATCCATGAGAATGTTTAAGCGATGTAGTGGCTCAGCTGATCTTTGATCTCTTAATACAGATCCCTTCTAGCCATGGGAAGCCAAACCTAATTCCAATCCAAATCCAAGTCAAACCTAATTCCACCTTTGTTTTCTTGTCTGATTCTTGGCCGATTGCTCTGAAATTTTGTCTACCGATAGAAACCGACATTTCCAACTTGTAGACAAAATTTCAGAGCAATCGGCCAAAAATCGGCCGAGAAAACGAAGGTGGAACTAGGCTCGGCTTGGAATTTTCCATGTCTAATCCCTTCCAGGTTCATTTCGGCGCATGAGCTGCAAAATGTGATGCGAAGTCTTGGGGAAACGCTAAACGATGAAGAGTGTGAGGAAATGATGAGAGAAGCCGACGTAAATGAAGATGGATTGGTGAATTATGAGGAGTTTTTGCGAACAATCACGGGGAAATGATTTCTCAGACTGAGATACGAATAAAATTGAAGATTTTGCACGTCTTTGAAATGCATAAGATAAAAAACAATCATTTTAACATTAGAAAGCAAAGTTTAACAATTTAGAAACAATTTAGAAACAATTTAGAGACAATTTTATCTTTGATATTTGATATTATTTGGATGAACGATTTAGAGAACTTTGTTTTGTCTTATGCAAAGCTTGACGAATAGCCATTTCGATATGTTCTCGGGAAAAGTCAGATGAGAATCGAAAAGGGTGTCTTTTAGAAAGCGGAAATGGGGGTAGGCTAATTTCCGCCATTTTATTTGCGCAAGTACGTTTGCACAAAAAGGGTCATTTGCGCAACTTTAACACTGTATTAAGCACTCGGGTTTTTAACACGTTGACGACAATGACGTTTTTGCACAAACAATCGCATGGGACAACGTTGTTTTTTTTCGACAAAAAATGTCACCTGAAATTGTCACCTAAAAAGTTAAACTTTTAATAATCAACGGTTAAATCGACATTTTCCGGGACCAAGTCGAATAGATACTACCCTATAGATACTACCCTACTTGCTTATTTAATATCCATCATCAGCAAACATAAATATGCACAAAAAAACAATTTTGGTACTGTCACCATCAGGTGACAATGTCCCAGGCGAACGAATATGTGTCAGACAGCATCAGGTGACAATGTCGTCAACGTGTTAATCATTATTTTCATTTTTGAGCTTTTTTTTTATTGTTTTTTTTAATGTTCTTCTATTTTTTTGTGAAATCTCCCAATATTTATCTAAATTAGTCCTTCCTAGGAGCTAATAACCATTAGTAAAATATTTTATTGCTTTAACAAAAAAGTGCAACCGATAACAATGAAAGTTAGGATACGAACAGCAATGAAATTTAGGAAAACAATAAAAATCAAATTTTTTTAATATACCCTAAAATTCCATAGATAAGAGCGGTTCATAAATAATATGATTTTGTGTACATTCTACCGTACACTCAGCTTAGTGCGCACTAAAACGTGGACTTCTTTGCTTTGTGTAAGAAGTCCACGTTTTAATCGACTTTATGGAATCTATGGAATTTTAGGGTAAGTCAAAAGCTGAGAAAGATGTTGCACAAAATCGCAACCGGGCAAGCGACCATTAGAAATAGCAGTAAAACGTTGCTTTTGTCGAGCCAATACAGTTTTCTTCCGTGCGTAGTTTTGTCTAACAGTGAGATTGATAGCCGATGAAAGCTTGAAACGGTTGATTATTTGCGTCATTTCTTCCTAAAGTCTGACCGCAGGATGCGATGGATGCGGATTCTAGCAAACCTTCAACGCTTTAGAAAGCGCACCACTCTGCTTTCGCGCTAGTCCCTTAAAAACGTCAAAAAAAGTTGCGCAAATGATCCTGTTGCGCAAATAAAATGGCGGAAATTAGCCTACCCCCGGAAATGTGAAGATTACGGTAGTTTTTGAACGTTTTCTTTCAAAACTTAATAACTCCGCGCTGAGTTATCCGATTTTTATCTTTTTTTTTTACTAAAATGTTCATCGTGACAAGCTTGACCCAAAACCGCCGGGGGGTTTTTTTTAAAAATTTGTTCCGATATATTCATTTTAAAGCCTTGGAAAGAAAACTCAACATAGAAAATTTGACAAAAATTGACACTTTGCTCAAAATTGAGCCAGACAAAATTTCAAATAACTATTTTGAATAATTTATTTTTGAATTCTCCATAATTTTTTGCATCTAGTACGCATTTTTACAGAATTTTTTGTTAGAAAACACTTTTTTTTTTGCCTTATTTCGCGCCGATGTGTGGCATGAGAGGCTGAGATGAAGAGAAAGTTGAAAATAGCTGAAACAAAGTTGAAGTTTAAACATTTAGTGACACTCAAAAACATACACTGTGATAGATGAACCCCAGAAACTATTAGGATGGTGCAAAAGAAACTGTCGATGGGTATCAGCTCTCATTTATCAGAAACGAGCGATGCTAACGGCATTTTTTTTTATCTTTTATTTTTGTTTTGTTCGCATATTTGTTTTCTATTTATTTCGACATTTGAATTTTTTGGTTGTTGTTTATTTTAGACGAGACTTTGGAAGATTACGAGCACGGTTCGAGGCCAGAAGTCGTGAACGAAGCCAATGCTAATATTTTTATTTATTTTTATTTAGATCATGGTCGAGCAAAAGTTTGTGCTACGAGCAGCATTACTGTTTAACTTCAAAATTGGAAAGTCTGCTGCCGAATCGCATCGTTCTCTCTGTGCTGGAGTCCGGCTCTGGTTCTGGCTCTGGCTCTGACTCTGGATCTGGAGTCCGGCTCTGGCTCTGGAGCCCGGCTCTGGCTTTGGAGTCCGGCTCTGGCTCTGGAGTCCGGCTCTGGCTTTGGAGTCCGGCTCTGGCATAGAGCATTACTGTTTAACTTCAAAATTGGAAAGTCTGCTGCCGAATAGCATCGTTCTCTCTGTGCTGCTTTCGGAGATGGCAGTTTGTCTCTCAGGCAGTGTCAGACTTGGTTTCAACGATTCCGAGGGAGACGGGAGAGGGAGACGAGACTTTGGAAGATTACGAGCACGGTTCGCCATTGCATACGGCCAGAGGTCGTGAACGAAGCCAAGCTGAGGGACATTATTTAGGCTGATCCATGCCAATCCATGCCAATCTGCTCGAGATCTTGCGAAAATATTCCATTGTGATCATGTCACCATCGAACGCCATCTTTTTTAAATTTACCGTCAAATCGGCAATTTCTTTTGCACCACCCTAATACAACAAATGCAAACGTGAGCCACGGGAGGGCAAGAGTGAGAAATGGGAGGAGGATCTAGGAGTTAACATCTACCATAATACCTATTCCAAAAGCCTTCCAAAAGTTTAGACGGTAGCGCAAAATGGGGTGACAGATAAACAATTGCCCAAATTGCTGAGAGATCGTGAGATTGATGACACTCAAAATTGACACAGTGAGATTGATGACACACAAACTGTGCATTGATTTGATGAAAATTGAAGGATAAACATACATTGTGACAAAGCTTTTCCTTAGTTTTAAACAAGCTCTTGAAACAAGCTCAACAACAACAAACAACAAGCTCTTGAAAGTTATGCTGAAACAAAATAAATCGGGCGGGCAAGAGGTGTAAAAACGGAGAAAACTGTCGATGTTTCTTTTTCTGTTTCTGGAAGTGTCAAAGATCTTGTCAAAGAGTCAAAGTTGTCAAAGAGCTTTAACAGGAAGTGTCAAAGATCAGCATCAGTTTTAGCCGGTGCAAACTATAATCCTTCTATTATTGTTAATTTATTTCTAATTTATCATCTTTCTTTTTACCCTACAATTAGGCAAATCTGTCTTTTCTGTTTGTGTTCAAAAACTTTTAATTCCCACCGTTCCATGGGGATTACAGGTGACAAATCATTGAGGAAAAATACAATCTATTGAGGACAAATCAATTGAGGACAATCTATTGAGGACTTTGCTCGTTCTCAAGAAAATTTCTGAATTCATTTCCCCAATTGTTCAAAATCTCTCGACCTTTGAAGTTTTCAATATGGTCGTACCTATTTTTATCTTCATTTCCTATGGTATTCCGTCGGCTTTGTTAACGCTTTTGGTGATGATTTGCATTTTACGAGATCGATCACTTATGGAAGGCTCATTTTATCGTTGCTATCTTTTCATTTTGTTTGTCGTAAGCGAAATTTTGTGTTTGAAATCATAAAGTCAACAGTTTGAGAAATTCTGTGTTTGAAATCAACAATCTATGCCATAGAGCATTTCAATGGATTACTAGGCTACATATCAATGGATTACTAGGCAGTGATTACTATGCTTTTAGCGCTAAGGGATTGTCCAGATTACCCTGTGTCTCTGGCTTTGAATAATGCTAAGCTTTCTTGGTACTAGCCGATGAAGTCAATCTTGCATCATGCAAAAACGAAATCTTGCAATTGCAATGCAATTTTCTCTATCGATTTACTACCAAACTTTTCCAGCACATCACGAGCTACATCAACTCGTGGATTGTTGTCAAATTTCGAAGTCTCGAATCGTTTACATGGATCTATTTGGGAATTCAGGATTATTTCCCTCCATATCGACTCTTTTACACCTATCAGTTCGCCTCGTTTTACATTCAGAATTGCGCGTTGTTGTTGCTGCATTTGAATCGTTTCACGGCGATTTGGTGGCCGATCAAGCACATCAAAGTAGAAAAGGAATATAAAAATCAAAGATTTCGTTTAGCTCTGGGGTTTGCGTAACATTTTCTACCTTGGATTCGCCATTTATGTGCTGGGTTTTTCGATTTGCTATGCTGATTTTTACATTGGTCCGTTGTATGTTTTGACGGATGGATTGGCGAGAGACAATTTGGCTTTATGGCCGGTGAGGTTTGAATATAAAAAATTGAGTTCAACAAGATTCATCAGTAACTTTTAGGGCTTTTAGGGCTCACCCAGGGTTTTCGGGAGTGAGGAGTCCAAATTAGTGTTTTTTTTAAAATAAGAGCTCAAAATCAGAGCTGTTCCTAGATTTTCCAAACAAAGCCAAAGCCAAGCCAAAGCTTTGGCTTGGCTTGGCTCGACTTGACAAAGAAAACCTTGGCCATGCTAGGCTTGGCTTTGGCTTTGGCTTGGCTTTGGCTTGGCTTTGGCTTGGCTTTGGCTTGGCTTTGGCTTGGCTTTGGCTTGGCTTTGGCTTGGCTTTGGCTTGGCTTTGGCTTGGCTTTGGCTTGGCTTTGGCTTGGCTTTGGCTTGGCTTTGGCTTGGCTTTGGCTTGGCTTTGGCTTGGCTTTGGCTTGCTTTGGCTTGGCTTTGGCTTGGCTTTGGCTTGGCTTTACTCTTTGGCTTGGCTTTGGCTTGGCTTTGGCTTGGCTTTGGCTTGGCTTTGGCTTGGCTTTGGCTTGGCTTTGGCTTGGCTTTGGCTTGGCTTTGGCTTGGCTTTGGCTTGGCTATAGAACACTCCAAGAACCAAACAAACAAAAGATTGCTTTCATGAACCAATATCAAAACATCAATCACATTTGTCTCTTTATTTCAAATGCCCTTTAGGAGGTTTGGCTCTCCGTTTTTCTGATGCCCCGTCTTGGACACGTGTTTCCCGTTGTCGCTTTCGTGCTGAATCTTCTGACTTTCGGGAAAATTCTCTACTTGAGAGTGAAAGGAAAGCAGTAAGCGATTGAAATTTTGTTTTTCGTAAATTGTACTCACATAGGTTCCTCCTTTTAGCTCACACAAGTCACACAGCAAAAAAATTTCCATAGATTACGTAGTTCAAGACCCAAAGCCCAATCCGATCGATTTAATTTTTGAAGGCTGCTTTTTTGAAGGCTTTAAAAAGGTTATTGCCAAAAATCTAAGCTTTACGGTCAAATGAAGCCATTTTCGGTCAAATGAACCTTTTCCCAGCCTCTCTCTACTCGATTTTCAGAACAAACGGAGTGCTGGTCGAGATCAACTTGTTCTTCATTTGCCTCAGCACTTTTATCGTTCAGTTGGCCCAGATGTTCTACTACGATCAAGCGCTTACTCTTTGGCGTACCCCAGAGATGATAATCTTAATGGTTGGCAAATAAACACTAAAACCAGTGTTGGTCCGATTCGGTTTCAATAATTTCCGAAATCAAACCGATCTAACCTTCCCTCAGTTCAAATCTAACCGAATTTGGTGAAGTTTTGTTTGAATTTGGTGAATTTAAAGGTTTAGAGGCCTAGTTGGCCCTCAGTTTGGAAAATAGTGAAACTTAAGCGAATCAAATAGTAGACTTTGCATTTCAACTCAACTTCTATGTATATGTCGTAGCCGATTATGAATGAGTGGGTCTAGGAGCGTCCAGCCATCAATTATTTAGTATCATTCAACACAGAATCATTAATAATTATGTTAAATTTTTAAAATTAGAAAGATTGGATAAAAAGAAAAAAGTTAAAGCAAAAAAAACTGTTTGTTCAAGGGGAAAACTTTGAAGGCCCATAATTTTTTTTCTTTTCATCCAATCTTTCTAATTTCAAAAATTTAACATAATTATCAATGATTCTGCGTTGAATGATACTGAATAGTTGATGGTTGGACGCCCTGTACTGTACTGTACTGTACTGTATACAGTTTATCGTAGTCAATTATGAATAAGTGAGTCTAGGAGCGTCCAACCATCAAGTATTTAGTATCATTCAACGCAAAATCATTGATAATTATGTTAAATTTTTGAAATTAGAAAGATTGGATAAAAAGAACCCAAATTATGGGGCTTCAAAGTTTTCTCTTGAACAAACGGCTCTAATTTGCTCTAATTTTTTTTTCTTTTCATCAAATCTTGCTAATTTAAAAAATTTAACATAATTATCAATGATTCTGCGTTGAATGATACTAAATACTTGATGGTTGGACGCTCCTAGACCCACTCATTCATAATCGGCTACGGGGGTCCCGCCGATTTTGAATGAAACGTTGTAGCGCCGGCAATTTTTAACCTAAACTCACAAATTTGGTACCAATCGACGCAGAATTCAATTCGCTACAAGATGATATAATATTGTCCTCATACATTAAAGGGTTGCTCTACTAGAAAGATTTGCCAAAAAAATTTCATTCATAATCGGCTACGACATATAAAATCAAACTTCTCACAAAACTGAATAGTTTTTGAAATGGTGTCAAAGAGATCGTTCGAAAAAAGTTCAATTTTCATATTCAGCAAACTGTTATGGGCGACTTCTTTGCACTGAGCGAGGCATACATCGGGCTGGCGTTGAATCGAACTATTCGCCAAAAGCTGTGGGCAATGACTTTTGCTCGATTCACCAAAAAAAGTGACGTTTCGGAAGTGAAAAACACCTCGGAGGGCTCGAAAAAGAAAACAAGACGTGTGCCGAAAAGCGAAATAAAAATTTGATTAGCAAGAGATTGCAGCCAGCAAGAGATTGCAGCCAGCAAGAGATTGCAGCCAGCAAGAGATTGCAGCCAGCAAGAGATTGCAGCCAACAAGAGATTGCAGCCAACAACGATACTTGTGCGTTAACGTAGACAAACAATAAACCAAACAAAGTCCTAAACCAAACAAAGTACTAAACCAAACAAGTACCAACGAAACAGTACCAACAACGATACTTGCCAAATAACTGAAATCAAACTCACAATGCGTTCTACATATTGTTTTATTTAGATTTGTTTAAGGCTTTTTATTCAGTAGATAGTTTAAAACATTGCCAACAGGAACACGCTAGTTTTTAAAATTCAAATAGGGCCTTCAAATCCAAGTTTGTAACGTTTCTTTTGCGATTTGCGATAAGAGTGATTTGCAAGTTTTGCTGTGTGTGTTTTACTGAGTTTGCACCAAACCACAGCTATTTCAACCGTAGCACAACCACAGCCATAACTACAGTCGACTCTCTCTATAACGGAATGGAATTTTGGTCCCGCCCGACGCTAAGCTATAAAAAACGGCACTCTATGGTTGGCAAATAAACACTAAAGCCAGTGTTGGCCAGGTTAACGGAAACATTTTTGATCGCTTCCATTCCGTTATAGAGAGAGTCATCTGTATAACAATCACAAGGTAGTCTCAGAAAATACAATTTAACTGGCTTGTTTTTCGTTTTGCTACTAAGAATGCGGCAACGTAAGAAAAAATAATGAATCATCAATTTTGTCAACACAGTGAATTAATGGACTCATCTCTCATCCAAAAGTAAACCCTCGGCCAACGAAGACGAGTAGAGCCAGGCTTGGGCTCTGTTGACTCAATAAATGTAACAACAAAGTAATACATTGGCTTTTAATTTTCTGCAGAAGTAGAGCTCTTTGTGCGAGTCTACGAATTGGCGATGATCAGCGGTCATCCCGCTCATCGTCCAACAATTATTGATCGTTTATTGTATCGATCATTGATCGTTTATACGGTTCCAATACGGTTCCATTGGTAAGCGGTTCTCGAGATTTCGAGTAATTTAGACTACTATTAGAGAATTGTTGTTGATGTAAGCGTGACAAATGTTGTGATAGAGTTGGATTCGAACGGAGAAAAGTTGAATGAAAGGAAAGTTTTTGAAGTGAGAACACAAAAGAGAAAATACTCGTTGACCGAAATCGAACCAGGATCAAAAAGTTGGCGTGCTAGGTTACTAGCACGCCAAGTTTTTTGTCTACTCGGCCACGGAGACTCTTTGATACTCTAAAACTGCCTCTTATGAAAACTCTAACTGGCGACTTCTAAAGATGAAAAATTATTTTTTTACGAACAAATCTAAAATCAAATTATTTCAAAAATTTGAAAGCAGTACACACAAAGCTTTTCGGAATCAGTGAAAAATTTGCTACAAAGTAGGCTGGGACCCTGAATTTTGAGCCGCGACATTTGAGCCGAGCTTTTGAGAAATAGAGTATTGACGGTAGTAACATTATTAGCTCGAGTCAAGGTCTGTGTTTCGGCTCAATTGTCGTTTTTGTGTTTCGGCTCAAAAGTCAGGGCCCAAAAGTCAGGGCCCAAATAAGCTTGGTTCCGTTTTGAAAGTCGGTAGTAAGTCCTTAGTTAACCCCTACTTTCGAGCAGTGTGCATTTTTATTCGTCATATTTTCGATCCCTCTCTCGCCGTATTGTCCCCGCTTGATTTCGGTGTTCATAGGAGCGCTCGTCCTCTTTTTTTTTCGTTTCTCTCACAATAGAGCGGCTCATTTACCCAAGCTGGTGAATATTATAATTGCTTTTTGCACAGTTTAAACGTTCTTGAAGCAAAAACTTAAGTTCCAACGTTTGTCGTTTGCGTTTGTCAGCTCCATCTACTTTTGATCGTTTCGATAGACTTTTATCTGCTGTTTAAAGCTTTGATGTGTGAAATTTCCCAATCAACATGCTTTTTCACTTGAAAATCCGCCAGTTTATAGTTTTTTAAGTATCTGATTGATTTGGAACGAAACACTTTAGCGGCCGATATATTTTTGTGTAAAAAACGCCACACTTTCGTTGAAAGCTAACAATATTCGTGTTTTTTGATTGAATTAACTTCTTTTCATTGTACCTACTAATTTTTTCTTATATTTCAGAGCGAATGGCCTACCAGCACTACAGAGAGACGACACTTGGGCAAGCGTTGATGGAGATTCTCGACGAATATCTACGAGACGGCGTCATCACCGATCACCTCAAGAACAAAACCCTTGCCACTTTCGATCGAGTGATCAGCGCGGCCCTACACGACACCGGAAAACACAAGGCGCAATTCATCGGTGAAAAGCTCGTCGCCTATCGATACTGTGACAATGTGTGGAGTCTAATGCTGAAAAACGTGACGTTCAGCGATCAGACGCGGACTTTCGACTCGATAACGATGGTAGATCGTATGAAAATCGTGGCGTTGGATGGCCGAGAGACGACATTGGCCGCACGACGCCCACCCGGGACCTAAATAAACTATTTTTGTGTTTAATTCGAGGTGTTACGAGCAATTTTGATCTATTTTTATCCTTGTTTGTTAGTACATGTGATTTTAGCCATTCCTTTTTACGATTACTCATTTTTGTGCTATGTTGTACAGATGGTGATAATTTTCAAATGTCGATAAATTTCAGTGAATCTCGAGTGGGCAAGATGGAGGAGACGGTTGGCGAATCGAAGCGCGGGATTCCGTTGATGAAAGCTGTGGTTGGTTTTTTGGTAAAAATGTATACTTTAAAAAATATAGCGGACTGATCTTTCATTTTTCTTAATCTATAAGCTTTCTGGGTGCTATGTTTGGGGCATTTTGTAAACACCGGTCTTTTTGAACTTACCACTGGTTTAAAACATTTTTTCTGAGGTAATTAATTACACTGGATCCATTGGAAGCATTTATAGACCATGCTGAACAACTTTTATGCCAATTTGAGCAACAATTTCGAACCTTCAAAAGTGACTCTATTTTCACTGGGTTTAGAGGTGCGGAACCGAATTAAGAAGCTTAAAACCTCAGTAACTGCTTGAAATAGCTAGAAAACTCTTACTAAAGCTTAAATAAATGCCAAATTAAGAATCTACGGCATTAAAAATCCTAAAAGCAAAAATTGGTGCGCTCTGGCTCAATAAAGATGAATGTACACTGCCCCCTCTCGAACTACTATAGCACCGCTTTCTCTTTCTAGGAAGATGTGGCTCAATGGCTCAAATCAGAAGGCGAGATTTCGGGTGAAGATGGCCGTGGACGACTTGATGAACAATACAGGTATTATTAATTTTTAAAAGATTCATTTGTGTGTTTTTAGAAAATACAAGATGATTGAAGCCGGTATGGCTCAACAACGACTGCGATTGATGGAGAAAATCCCCGAGTTCCAGAACAGTCTCCGATTGATCGACACACTCATTGAGAAGAAAGTGGGTTTGAAAGCTAGTAAAGCTTAGTTAATAACTAAGTCAAAAGTTTTTGACTGTTAAGATTTTAATTATTTTAGGAAAAAGGCGAGTCATTTGAAACGAGCCCGATGATTTCTGAAGAAGTCTGGACGAAAGCCACAGTGAAGGAGCCAAAAACGGTAAATTTTGTCTTTTGGTAATGTAAGACAAGCTTTGCGGCTTGTCTGTCTTCTAGAAACTAATTAAAAATGCAGTTCAAACAGTTTTTACTCGTCGATGAATGCGGATCAAGCTAACTAGGGAACTTTTTCAACTTACCAACGATTTTCGAAACCGGATCTAGCCTATCTAGTGCAGTTTTTCACGCTGATTCCGATGCTGTAAATAACTTTTCCTGGTGGGCCCTGGTTTTCGAGAAATTTGAATAAAAGACGTTTTTCAGCTTAAATGACCCAATGCCATCGCTTCAAACCTATTTGCAAGAAAAATTTCAGCCAAAAATCTCCTTTCTGGCGGGTACAAATCAAGCTTCGAAAATTTCCATACTTTCTGAAATGTATTCAAAAAGACGATATTGCTCTAAAAGCGTCGGAATAAGAGATTTTTGGCTGAAATTTTTAAGTCGCGAGGTTTTTGGGGTCTAAAAATCAATTGGCGCAAATCCTTTTTCTTGAAAATTAGTTTTAAGCAAGTTATGTTTGGGTCATTTAAGCTGAAAGACGTTTTTTATTCAAATTTCTCGAAAACCAGGGCCCATCAGGAAAAGTTATTTACAGCATCGGAATCAGTGTGAAAAACTGCACAAGATAGGCTAGGCTAAGTCCGATTTCGAAAATCGGTGGTAAGTTGAAAAAGTTCGCTAGTAAGAAACATAAAACTCTAATTCGACTTGGTTTTATTGTACAGTCGACTCTCTCTATAACGGAATGGAAGGGATCAAAAAATGTTTCCGTTATATAGAGTGCCACTTTATATAGATTAGCGTCGGCCGGGACCAAAATTCCATTCCGTTATAAAGAGTTTTCCGCTAAATAGAGCTCCGTTATATAGAGGGTTGACTGTACTTCATTTATTTAGGTATCAATCTGGATTGGCGCCAACATTATGGTCGAATACGAGCTCGACAAGGCCAAACAGCTCATAATCAAGAATCATAAAAAGCTTAATGAGGTAAAAATAAATTTGCGAACAGAGAATAATAAATTTTTTTAGCAATTGGCGGAACTGAATCATGAGCTTGCTTTTGTCAAGGATCAAATCACAACAACTGAGGTGAGTTTTGATCAAACTTAAACACAATCAAGCACCTAATATTGATCGTTTGGTTTTATAATAGATATCTAAAGACTGTTAAAAATTTAATAATATGTTGAACTTTTAGGTGAACATCGCTCATGTGCACAATCACGTTGTGAAGCAACGACGTCTTGCCTCGATGAGAATGGCGGCTGCAAATTGATCTATTTTGTGAGTGTTCGATTGACTTTTCTCAATTTTGGGTCACTTGTAATCTCTTCCATTTACTCTTTTGAAATCTATTAAAAAAAATCGATAAGTAGGCCAACTTTTAGTCACATCATTGCTTTTTCATTGCTCCTTGGGAAAATTTTGTCGTTAAGTTTTATTGCCAATGCCTTATCCTTTTATTATTGTTACTTTTTTTTGCGTGTGCTGTTGACTGTGGTTTTTTAGAGAAATTCTTTATTCTATAAAAAGATCAAAAAGACCACGATTTAGAAAAAGTGAAAATGATTAGAGGCCAGCAAAAAAGTGGCAACACACGGCCGTTCAACGGCAAAATTAAAGAGAAAAATCTATACAAAAAATGTGCAAATTGAGAATTTCAGGCAAAATAGCGCTTTAGGTACACTTTAAATACAGCTAGCTCTAGTGCAAATGCTAGGCTCTTCGACGCTATCCAAAGGAGATCCAAGGTTGGGTATTTAGTTGAGATTGTTGCATTTCCGGTCATTGTTCCGACCGGAGTTCAATTTCCCGGCTTTCTTGCTGCGTTGCTTCCCCTTGGAATCGCTTTGAGCAGCGGCGGAGGCACGCTGAAATCGTTTTTGTTATGAATATCATAAGTTCAACATCTAATTTGATGTTTACAATTCATAGATGTCTGCTTTAAATTCATAGATCAAAAAATTACCTTGAGGCACGATGTTGTCATTTGAGCACCATTTGCCCCAGCACTTGTCTTAGTCTTTCCATTCGATTGCAACGAGGCGGCCGCATTGGCGAAAAGCTGGAAATGGTATTTTTTTTTTGTTTAAAATTGGAAGTTAATGAATTAATTCAGTAATTTAAAACTTCCAAGTCGGCCTTAAAGGTAACCTATCACCAATAATTATGTAGATGTTACAGTAGATGTTAATCGTAAAGCTTGCCCTTGCGTAAAGCTGATTACGGTAGCTGGGGCACTTTTTAGAGTACCTACACGAGTTTGTTTGGAAGTTTCGAAAAGTTCTCGAAATTTGGCGCTAACTCACCGCTGTCTCGAGTGCAAGCTTCTGAATTGCCTGAGCGCGCGCCTGTCGCATATCTTCGGCACGACGAAGCACTTTTGTTGAAGTTGCTGAAAGTTTTCTTTCATATTGTCTATTAGTTTAAAGAACTGGATCAAAATTACGAGAACTCACCGGTTTTGTTGCTTTGCAAAGACAGAGTGTCGATGTCTCGAAGCTCTGGCTGAGGCACGATCACTGGTGATGATCGACCGGAGACGTTTTCTGGAAGAAAATAATTTTAAAGGACTAAAGGTGAATTGAAATCCGGTTTCCGGTTTCTTTGTGGTTTTTGATGAACTATGGTATTAGACACAAACGGGTTACGGTAAATGGGACATGCTTTAAAGTGTCTACTAAACGTACGGAGAAAATCTATCGATTCTTTTTTTGCCGTTGGAATTTTATGGTTTTTGCTCAGCACCAACCCTTCTATTTTGACTATTTTGACTATCATTCGATGCAGAAGAAAATTGCGCGTCGAATGATACCAAAATCAACTCAAAATATAATATCCACGCAAAGTTGTTGGCTAAAAACCTAAACCCCGCCCATTATGGACGGGACTTAACCTTTTGTCTCATAACTTTGCATGGATATTATATTTTGAGTTGGTTTTGGTATTATTCGACGCGCAATTTTCTTCTGCATCGAATCATAGTCAAAATAATCAAAATTAAAGGATTTAGAAGAGACAAAAAAAGTTCACAAGAACTTTTTAGGCTTGAACTTTAATATTTTAATGGTTAAGTTTAAGTTTAACTTTAATTTTAGCTTTAACTTTAACTTTAGCTTTAGCTTTAACTTTAACTTTAACTTGATCAATTTAAAGGCTTTAATAGTCTATTAATTTATCAATTTTCAACATTTTTAGAAAGCAGGCTGTAGTTGAAAGAGGAGCCAATGTGCAAAATGGACTCAGGTTCCGTATTCAAATATTTGTCGGCTCCGACGCGCGTCAATAATGAGAAGCAATGTACAAAGGCAAAAAGGGTATGCAAATATCGATTTCACATATACCGTATTTTCTCTAATAGTAGTAGAAAGTCGCCTAAATTCCTCGTAATCTCGAGAAGCGCTTATCAGAACCTATCGATGTGGGGTCGGAAAATGTAGCTGACGATGAGATCTAGTGGAGGATTTGAGTGTTGAGCTTCTGGGAAAGCTTCTGCAAGCTTCTGCAAGCTTGGAAGTCGTCAAATAGTCATCAACTCGGCTGGGTGCACTACTATTAGAGATTCGGTAGAACGCAGAACTCGATGAAAAAGATTTTCAGTGGCTCAACAAGGTGCAGCGGTGCAATCATCGACAATCATTTAATTCTCACCGCAGTTGTTTCGCAAGAGGGTTTGTTTGATGAAAAAACAAGAGATTTTAGATTTAGATCTCTTTTGATTTAGCTTAAGTACTAGAGAATCTTCTTTAAATCATCTCCTATTCACTTTCAGTCCCGATCTTTCGTACCGTTTTTTCTCTAATAGTAATATACCGTATTCTCTCTAATATTAGTGCACCGTGAGCGTCGCCTAAATTCCTCGTAATCTCGAGAAGCGCTTATCAGAACCTATTGATGTGGGGTCGGAAAATGTAGCTGATGATGAGATCTAGTGGGAGGATTTGAGTGTTGAGCTTCAGGGAAAGCTGCTGCAAGCTTCTGCAAGCTTGGAAGCCGTCAAATAGTCATCAACTCGGCTGGGTGCACTACTTTGAAGGCCAATAACTTTGTTCAGAGATCATATTTTTGCTAGCTTTTTATAACATTGTACAGAGAACATTTCAGGCTTTCAAATGATACCAAATAGAGCTTGACTGGTCCATCCAGTCCAAGAAAATACGGTATTCGGTTTCTTTTTATATTCCTTAAGTGCAAAAGCTGCAAAAGCTGATGGGGTTTCTTGAAAAAAGTAGACTGATTTGTGTAAATTTTGATTTCAGTTTATCCTTAGCTTATTTAAAAGGTTTAAAAGGTTTAAAACTCTTATTGCAATCTTATTGCAATCTTAAAGTTCAAGTTTTGCGCTTTTAAACTCACCAATTGATGGAACGAGTTGCCAATCCTCGTCTTCCGCAAAATCTTTCCCATTTGGAGCCTCGTTTTCGCGATTGTTGTTGTCGCGATCGTAATGTTGTTCCTGGAAATGAACTTTCTTTGGGTTATAAACTGTAAACTATAAAGTTTTTCGGTCTCTAGATCAACCGTAAGTCTTTTCTTATCTAGCTTTCTTATCTAGCTTTCTTATTTAGCTTTCTTATCTAGTTTCTTTTCTTATCTAGTCTTTTCTGATCTAGTTCTGTATAGCTGTGCAATATGAAAGTAGATCTACTATGTCTTTTCCACTAACCGTTCCCTGAGCGCTTTCTCCTCCAAAGAAATATCCGTAAAGTCCGTTGAGCATTGTTTCTTTGATATTGGCCTTGGAAATCACAAGAAAAAAGGCAGTGAAGTGGAGAGAGGTAGATGAGCTAAAATTTCAAGCTAAATTCCGGGTCTTATGAAAGAGATTAGAGAGATAAGGAACCAAATTTAGAGAAATAATGAACGAATCTAGAGAGGTCAGGAGCCCAATTTAGAGAGATAAGGAACCAAATTTGCAAAGATTAGGTCTTTCAACGGATCGTCACACTTTGAAGGCCTATAACTTTGTCCAGAGATCATATTTTTGTTAACTTTTTATAATATTGTACAGAGAACATTTCAGGCTTTCAAATGATACCAAATAGAGCTTGACTGGTCCATCCAGTCTAAGAAAATCAGAGCCAAGCCAAGCCAGAGCCAACTCTAAGCAAATCGCCTATCCAACTCTAGTGTCTTGTCGCCTTATTTGCATGGGAATAAAAAAATTCAGTCAAGCTCTATTTAGTATCATTTGAAAGCCTGAAATGTTCTCTGTACAATGTTATAAAAAGTTAACAAAAATATGATCTCTGGACAAAGTTATAGGCCTTCAAAGTGTGACGATCCGTTGAAAGACCAGGATTCTTTCATAAGACCAAGATTCTTTCAAAATAAACGAAAACTACACAAGAGCTAAATTTGGATATTGAATAGGATTAAGCAAAGTATTAAATGCTTTGTTTTCTAAATGAAACGATCCGTTTTTTAAATGAAATGATCCGTTTTTCCGCTTTCTCTTTCTACCGTAATCTTGTCTTTATTTTTGTCGTGATTTCTACCGTAACCTTGTCTTTATTTTTGTCGTGATTTCTACCATAATCTTGTCTCTATTTTTATCCAATCTATTCACTTTTTATCTGCTTTTGTGATGGTTTACAAAGAATATTCAAAGATATAAGAAAGTGGATAGATTAGATTAAAAAAAGAGACAAGATTACGGTAGAAATCACGACAAAAACAAAGACAAGCTACGGTAGAAATCACGACAAAAATAAAGACAAGATTACGGTAGAAAGAGAAAGCGGAAAAACGGATCATTTCATTTAAAAAACGGATCATTTCATTGATCGTTTCATTTAAAAAACAAAGCATTTAATACTTTGCTTAATCCTTAAAGCTTAATTTAATAATATCCAAATTTAGAAACGTTTTAGAAAACGGATTTATCAAAAGGCGCATTCTTTAGCTTCTACAGTGTAGAATATATTTAAAAAAGCGAAAAAGAGAGCATTTTATGAATCGAGAGCTTTTAAAAGACGTGATTGATAGAGATAGAGATAGAAAAAAAGTGCTGAGGTTCACAAGGGGGTCAATAGTTTGAGAGGAAGAGGAGCTAAGCCCCTTTCCTCTTATCCCATCATCACATGTCTTTCAGCTAAAGCAGTTGACGAAAAAAAAGAACACACAAAACAAAATATCAAGCACTTGCTTATCTTATCGATTTTAAAGCTGTTATTAGATCTAAATTAGATCTGTTATTAGATCATTTTGAATAAGATTATCAAATAGATGATTAGAAACAAATCCTTATACATAAAAGCACTGAATTCCTATTTTTTTTCCTAAGAAATCAATCGTTATCTCGAGAAAATGAAGAATTGAGTGCACTAGAAAGATTTGTTTACGTGAGCACAAAGTACATTTCGAACTAAAAACAAGTCTATTGGCTTTTCGATGTAAAAAGGAGATTTAAGAGGCTTTAAAGAGGCTTTAAAGAGGCTTTAAAAGATGATCAAAAATCTTTTTGTTTACTTATCATTTTAGAACAAGTAGAAAAAAAGAAAATAACAGTTAGAAAGATAGAAAACTAGGTAAACTTAGGTAGAAAACTATCAGATAGACAAAAGATCACTGATTACTAGATAAAGCTTTCAAAATTGAAACTAGTATATAGGTAGTCTTTATACTAGTTTTCAAGAGGAGATTTTGAGCTATGTTGTTGTTGTTGTTGTTGTTGTAAATTTAAAGATAAACAAAACTATTGTAGTGATTCGATAGTTCAACTAGTAACTAGTAACAACTAGTACTTTGTAGTCACTAGAACTATCCCTAATTTATGAAAAGTTTACCTAGAAGAGATTAGATCTAACAGTGTAGCTGGGTTAGTATTAAAAGCAAAAAGAGTAGCTAGATGGATTGGAAGAATGAATTGTGGTGGCTCAAAATGGTATAAGAAGTGAAGGGAGAGGGGAGTGGAGAAGTAGGGAGATGGAGGAAAACTGGATAGGGTAAGGGGATCAAATAGGGGAGAGGAGTAGGAAAAGGGTAGAGAGAGTGGAACACCGCGTGACCAACCGGATGGACGCCCTGGGGGAAGGCTGGGGGAAGAAAGAAAGGAGGGGAGAGGAGGGGGAAGGAGAGAAAGGAAAGGAAAGAAGAAGAAGAAGGAAAGAAGAAGAAGGAAAGAAGAAGAAGGAAAGAAGAAGAAGGAAAGAAGAAGAAGGAAAGAAGGAAGAGAAGAAGGGGAAGAGAAAGGACACCCTTCAAGCCGTCCCTCAGACATGAATCGATGTGAGAATCGATTTCTGGGGTACTGAAGGCAAAGAGGTTTTGGGGTACCAATTCGAAATGGAATCAAAACGCAAAGTATTGGAGAGGGCCTGAAAATACTCTCAATCTCAACTTTATATACAAATGAAGCTTTTTTGTCGATCAGTTTATTCGCCTTCAGATGCACACATTCAATTGCCCGATGGACAAAATTCATTTATTTTGCCTTACCTATGTGTTTCTAAAATAAATATGTGAAAATTTGTTTGAATTACAAAGTGAACTGGGGCATAAGTTTGCACAATTTGCTTTTAACCTTAATCATTGGGGAAAGAGGCACAAGTACCGAAAGTTGATTTGATTTCGATTTAGTCAAACTTTGCTACACTCAATTTATTTCAATTCTTAGCACTAGTGGCTAAGAAAATATGGATATAAATATGAATGTCGATAATCTGCACTCAGTCCGGTCTTCAATCCGGTCTTCGGTTCGGTCTTCGGTCCGGATTTCCTTTTAAAACTTGATCAGATTCGGTCCGGTCTTCGGTCCGCCCTTCAATCCGGTCTTCGGTTCGGATTTCCCTTTAAAAATTGATCAGATTCGGTCCGGTTTTCAACAAACTCTCAAACTTCAACAAACTCTTAATCAATCCGGTTTTCGGTCCCGGTCCGGCTCGGATCGAGATCGGATCGAAAGGTTGGAGTTTAGGTCCGGTCTCGGACCGAGATCGAACCGAAAAGTTGGAGTTTAGGTCCAGCCCGGACCGAAATCGGATCAAAAGGTTGAAGTTTAGGTCCTGATCGAGATCGGATCAAAAGGTTGGAGTTTAGGACCCGTCCGGATCGAACCGAAAAGTTGGAGTTTAGGTCCGTTCCGGATCGGATCAAAAGGTTGGAGTTTAGGTCGGACCGAAGTCGGATCAAGAGGTTGGAGTTTAGGTCCTGATCGAGATCGGATCAAGAGGTTGGAGTTTAGGACCCGTCCGGATCGAACCGAAAAATTGAAGTTTAGGTCCAGCCCGGACCGAGATCGAACCGACTGATACACGTGCAAATGTCTAGTAAATAAAACCTATAAGTGCTAAAGTGTTTGAAATATATTCTCAAGCAGAGCTGGCATCTTTAAAAACAAAATGTTTCATCGTATGATTGTCATTGTATTAATTGTGTCATTCTATCTACATCTTTATATCATAGTTTGAGTAAATATGACTTAACTCATCGCCAATTGAATTCCTATTTAACTCTTTGCAAGTTTTGCAGACAGAATTTCGATCTCTGAATCTGGAGACGATGCTTTTCGAAACTTTGGGATCTTTGGGCTCTTTGGGCTCTTTGGAATCTTTTCAAACTCAAATTCGATTCACTAAATATCCAGTAAAACTTTCTCCAGTAAATCCACTGGATCTAGAACTATTTAAAGATATTTAAAGATATTTAAAGAACGATTTACTTACCCTACTTCATTTCAAGCTTCTAATTCAAACTTCCAATTATTTTCTATTCGAATCTCTCACCCAGATACACGAAAAAGAAGAATCGCTTGACCCTTTGACCTTTTTGTGTCCAAGGAGGATACCGTGTGACAAAATTTTGGCATTTTGGCACTCTGCCGTCTAATTAGAAGAAAAAAGACTTGTCTAGAAAACAAAATTAGACAAATTAATATCAAAATACGATAAGATCTCCAATAGAAGTTTGAAGTGAGAAAAAAAGAGATTTAATCCCATTCAAAAATTGCTTAAAAAGTCAAAATTTCGTTAAAAGTCATTGTCAATTTTAGGTAAAGTTGTGCAATTGGTAGTTAGAATTAGTTTGAATTAGAAGCTTGAAATGAAGTAGAGGTTTGAATTAGAAGCTTTAGGTAAAGCTGTGCAATTAGAAGTTTGAAAGAATGAGGTTTAATCCCATTCAAAAATTGCTTAAAAAGTCAAAATTCCTTTAAAAGTGATCGTCAATTTTCGGTAAAGTTGTGCAATTAGAAGTTTGAATTAGAAGCTTGAAATGAAGTAGAGGTTTGAATTAGAAGTTCTAGACAAAGCTGTGCAATTAGAAGTGAGAAAAAATGGGGTTTAATCCCATTCAAAAATTGCTTAAAAAGTCAAAATTCCTTTAAAAGTGATCGTCAATTTTAGGCAAAGTTGTGCAATTGGAAGCAATAAGGAAACACGCGAAAAAAGACGAAATTTCGAAAAGAACTTGAGAAATATGAAGCTAAAATGCTAAAAATACTAATAACTATTAGAATTATAAAAAGAATTACGGTGCTTTGCGGATAACGGGTGGTGGGGTCAACGATTATCGTGGAGGGGGGAGGGATCCTTTGGCCAACTTGCACCTCATTTTTAAGTACTTTAAACTTATTCGATTAGAAAGTTTTAATAACAATTAGATAGCTTAGAACGTCAGCTTTCAGAAGGTATTTGTTTTATCAAAAGTTGCTCACAAAAATCTATTTAAAATCGGGTTGGAAAATGGTCAAAAAGTAGACAAACTCAAAATTACAATAGTCGAGGAAAAGATCATTTATTTCTAAAGGATTATTTAAAAGAATTAAAAAGTATATAGAAAAGTGTTTATTGGAGACAGCTGGTCGTTTAGAAAGGTTTGATTATTGTGAAGGGGAGGGGAGAGGCGGGGGAGCGAAGGCGAGCGGAGTCGAGTGGACAGCCCATTTATAGGGGAGGAGTTGTGGGGATTGGGTCATGTGACTGGGGTCCACGGTTACCCTAGATCCTAGCCACCCCAACCCACCCCAACCTCGACCCCTTGCCCCTCTTCTATTTCTCTGTCCCTCAATCCCCATCCCGTCAATTATCTGCTTTGTCGTGGACACGAGATGGCCTTGCGTGTCCAAAGCAGGACCTCGATTTCTCTAATAACCACTAAATCAGAATTATGATGAGAATTAGTTTGAAATCTGTGCCTCTTTTCGTTTGATTTAATTCTAAGCCAACTATTGGGTTGGTGAATTGAAAACTGCGGGACTTTGAGCTAAAATTTATTCAACATAAAACCATGAATTCATTTCAAATAATTTCCATTATTATTGACGACTTCTGCCCATTTTACAGGCAATTTGCGGGTTCCTCTTTCGTGGTAGGATTTTGGTTTGTGTGTGAGACAAGTGTGAGACTCAAAAATGGAGGACTGGAGATGTCGAGATGGCCCAGTTTGAGCATTTGAGCACTTTCTTCAAAAGAAACCCATTTTGGTGTCAATGGAAAAGTTGTAGAGAATCAAAAATTAGGCTTATAGCCAAATTTCCAAAAAGATACACTTAGTAGTTTCGCTTAAAATGTCAAGTTTTGTGAAAATTCGTGAATTTGGCATTTCTTGAAAACCAGTTTTTGAATCATTCTGAAAATTTGGATATAAGCTTGATTTTTGATTCTCTACAACTTTTCCATTGACACCAAAATGGGTTTCTTTTGAAGAAACTCCTCAAACTGTCACATATGACAATAGCCGGCAGTTTTCAATTCACCAATCCAATAAAATTAAAGCCTGTAAGAGTACAGCTTCAATTCATCAACCCAATAAAATTAAAACCCTTTAACAGTACAGCTACTGATCAAAGTCTTCAGAAAAATCGATTTTCTAATCTATTTTTCTAACAAAATTTTCAGAACAAATTTTATGTATTATATACTATTTAAAAGCTCTAATTCTCAGCTATATTAGCTTAGAAAGAGTTCTTTTGATTGGATCCTTAAGACTTAAGGAGAGGCGCACAGCAAATCGGCTTGGCGCGCAGAAAGTCGTCAAACGTTATTTTTGTCTTCAAAATGTCATAACTTTAGTGTTATTCTAAACTAATAGACTCGTTAAAACTTTATTCTATTAAAAACAACCTTTTGAAACTCTCTTTGCCTAATAAAACAAAAAAAATCGTAGTGCGCCAAGCCGATTTGCTGTGCGCCTCTCCTTAAGTCTAAAGGATCCAATCAAAAAAGTTTTTCCAATCAAAAGAACTCTTTCTAAGCTAATATAGCTGAGAAAAATTAGCTGAGAAATTAGCTGAGCTGAGATTTAGAGCTTTTAACTAGCTTTGCTTTTATCTAGCTTTTAACTAACTTTTATCTAGCTTTTATCTAGCTTTTAACTAGCTTTTAAACTGTTTTTAACTAGCTTTTAAATAGCTTTTAAGAGCTTTTAACTAGCTTATAACTAGCTTTTATCTAGCTTTTAAATAGCTTATAACTAGCTTATAACTAGCTTATAACTAGCTTTTAAATAGCTTTAAATAGCTTTTAAATTAAACAGCTTTTAACTAGCTTTTAACTAGCTTTTAACTGGCTTTTAAATATCTAAATAGCTTTTAAACAGCTTATAACTAGCTTTTAAATAGCTTTAAATAGCTTTTAAATAGCTTTTAAATAGCTTTTAAAAAGCTTTTAAAGAGCTTTTATCTAGCTTTTAAATAGCTTTTAAATATCTTCTAAATAGCCTTTAAATAACTTTTAACTAGCTTCTCATAACATTTCTTGCGAAAAGTTTTTTAGAAAAATCGATTTTCCTAAAATTTTCCCGATTTTCCGATTTTCCTGGTTAAGTGGCACCGTGTCATTACGTTTTTAAAGCTCCATAAAGCTCCATCAAGCTCCATAAAGTCTCCATAAAGTCTCCATAAAGCTCCATAAAGCTCCATAAAGCTCCATAAAGCTCCATAAAGCTCCATAAAGTCTCCATAAAGCTCCATAAAGCTCCATAAAGTCTCCATAAAGCTCCATAAAGCTAATTGCTCTATAAAGCTTAGCTTTTGTTATTTAACATTAGATAACTTGAAATAGCATAAAGAAAAGTCAATTTTTAAATCATTAGCAATAGATTTTTGTCTCATTTGTCTCATGTTGTGGGGGTTTTTTGTGTGTTGGGTAGAAGCTGGTGTCTCTCACGTGATTGTCAAACAATTTAGCCGTCTCTCAGCCTAAGCATTCACTTTTTCTCACTTTCCTCACTTTCTCACCAAAAAACTTTTCACATTTGTCAGTGAAAATTGCCGGTTTTCAGGTGTGCTCTTTGAAAATGAGTTCAAATTTGAACTTGCACAGTTTAAAGTGAGAGTTGAGTGAGAATGATGTCACTAATGTCTCGATTTGCTTTTAATTTATTGGATACCGGTGCAAATCTCTATTTTAAAACAGAGAAAAATAAGTTAAAGCCATGAAAAGAAAAGGAATAAAAAAGAAAAGAAAAGAAATAAAAAGAAATGAAAGAATCAGAAAAATATTGAAAAAAATGCAATTATCGTTGCGTAATCTGAAAAAAATGACAAGAATGCGTAAAACTATCGTTGTGGAATGACTCTAGCGTATAGTGCGATGAGGCTTTTTCTAGCTGGCTCATAGTAATGTTGACGAATTCGAGAAATCGCTTCATTTGAAGAGAACCAATCCGAGGTGGAACGGTGCTGGAATTGGGTTTTTTTTAGAAAACTATATAAATCCGTAATAAGCAAATTCTCTGTTAATCCCTGTCTTAATCATAATCCTTCCACAATTCCTGTCTCATATCTCAACCAGCCCTTTATTTCCTGCCCGACCCCGAACCCGTAAGCGGACTCGTACCAGGCAGGACCTCGTCCCGAGCAGGCGAGAACCGAGCCCACTACCACTACGCCAAAACGTCAACCTGCCTCGCCCCCAATTTGGCCAATAGATCCTCAATCCTTCCACAATTCTCATCTCATTTCTCAACCAGCCTTTTATTTCCTGCTCGACCCCCGGAACTCGAACCAGGGAGGACCTCGCTCGACGCGCAGGCGAGAACCGAGCCCACTACCACTACGCCAAGACGTCAACCTCGTCCAGCTCCAATTTGGCCATTAGATCCTTAATCGTAATCCTTCCATTCTTTCGGTCTCATTTCTCAACCAGCCTCCATTTTACTTCCTGCCCGACTCCCGAACCCGAGAGCGGTGCTGGAAAATTGGGAAAAATTGGGAGAGCGGACTCGAACCAGGGAACCTTGCTCGGAGAGCAGGCGAGAACCGAGCCCACTACCACTGCGCCAAGACGCCAATCTCGCTCGTCTCCAATTTAGCCATTAAATCCCAAATCAATCATTTTCTCTCCAATTCTTTTTTTCTTTTTCGTGCCCTTTCTATCGTATTCTCAAAATTTTCAAACAAGTTTAAAATTATTGTTTTTTCTTACGTGTACATTGCTTTGTTTACATTTTTCATCCATTTTTCAATGCCATTAAGCTATATCTTTTATTTAAACTCTTTTATAGTCTAAAAATCTCTTTGATTTTGCTAGAAAAGAGATGAAAAAGCTGAAAATGAGAAATTTTGTCTAGATTTGGCTGGATATTGAAATGCTTACGGTGTACTCGTAAACAAACCCTTTCTGGTGCACTGGATCTACCTAGTTTCCCTATTCAATTCTTTATCTGGAACTAGGAGAGAATACTACAAGTTTTCGTTATCGTATTCGTAAATTATCAAAATTACCCAGTCAAATGGAAGCCATTGATTTGTTCGGTCGTCGCGATTTGCCTAAAATCTTCTGTAACTAGAGCACTAGATGGTGTGCGTTTCCAGAGCTCGCTGAGCACAAAGTACAACCTATTGTAGAGTTGTAAAGGTTTTTGTAGAGTTGCCAATGGCTGGCCAATGCCTAGTCAATGCCTGGCCAATGCCTAGCCAATGCCTGGCCAATGCCTGGTCAATGGCTGGTCAATGGCTGGCCAATGCCTGGCCAATGCCTGGCCAATGCCTGGCCAATGCCTGGCCAATGCCTGGCCAATGGCCAAGGCCAATGCCAAAGCCAAGCCAAAGCCAAGCCAAAGCCAAGCCAAAGCCAAGCCAAAGCCAAGCCAAAGCCAAGCCAAAGCCAAGCCAAACGCATTTCTTTCAATTCGTACTTTCAGTTTTCAAGGCTTAGACGTTTTCAAGGCGTTTAATTACGCAATCATTTGACCCTTTTGTACTTTGTGCTTTTTGCTTTTTGCTTTTGTAAACGCATCATTTCTAGCACAGAATTCGCTATTCTCGGGGGAGAAAAGTGGAGAATTCAGTGCACTAGAAGGGTTTCGTTTTCGTTTCGTTTTCAGAACTCTTTCAGAACTGAACTTACCTCAAAAAAAGCGATCATTAGCGTTGCGAACAAGAGTAGAAAAAGTAACGAAATAAAAATGGCATTCACGATTCGTTGAGTGGAATTTCTTTCAATCGAATTCACCGATTTCGTCTTTTTTATCGAATTTCCATTTATTTTCTGAAAAATCAAGCAAAATATGGAATATTATATGATAAAAAGATAGCATTTGATAATATAAATCATAAAAAATAATCCAAAGAGCTCAGTTAAAAGGAGATGATTGCTAAAAATGCTTATTGCTTGCTTGATTATCGCTTAAACCATTGCTTCCATGGTGTTCCTTTAGATGCACTTTGTACTTTCATAAACACACCATTCTGGTGCACAGAATTCCTCCAAAATCATGAATCCAGTGCACCAGAAAAGCTGTGTTTACAGATTTAAGCCAATCTAATCTAAGTACATCTAAAAAAGCTGATTTTTTTCACCCACCGAATGTCCATTTATCGGTGAAATGGTCGAATTTTGTGGCAAATTTTCCGTCAAATGATTTCCTCGTCTAATCATTTGTGCATTTGTTGGCGTACTTGTCAACAATGGTTCACCAATCTCCTCCGAAATCACGCTTGTCTTCTCCTCTACCGTAAACTGGAAACACCGTTTTTTTTAGGCATTCTATAGTGTGCTAAAAGTGCTATAGGCTAAGCGTAGAAACACCAGAAAAAGCTTCTTCTTCTAACTTTAAAGAACTATTGATAAAGCGAAACACCGGAAAAAGCTTCTTCTTCTTCTTCTTCTTCTAACTTCTAACTTCTAACTTCTAACTATAAAGAAAGCTTTCTGATAAGCATAATTCTGCCAAAGATTTAACCTTTTTTTGGTGCTCTGAATGCCTTGCCATCTAAATTCCGTTTTTTAGGCATTCTATAGTGTGCTAAAAGTACGATAGGCTAAGCGTAGAAACACCGGAAAAACATCTTCTTCTAACTTTAAAGAACTATTGATAAAGTAAAATTTAAAGCTTTTTTTCTGATCTTTTAGCTTTTTAAAGCTTTTTTTTCTGTACGGAGAACACTATAGAGTACGTAGAAAATCTATGTTTAACTTAGTACTTATCAAAAATGCTGTAAAGTTGAAGCTTTTCTGTTTTTATTTTCATTTTGATAATTTGATAATTTTGTCAATTTTTGCACCTCTGAAAATATTCAAAAAGAAAAGCTTTTCAAAATCTCTTAGCTTTATTAAGAAAAGCTTTAAGAAAAGCTTTTAAGAAAAGCTTTAAGAAAAGCTTTATTAAGAAAAGCTTTATTAAGAGAAGCTTTAAGAAAAGCTTTAAGAAAAGCTTTATTAAGAAAAGAAAAGATCTTTCTTTCAAATCATAAAAAGATAGATCTCATTTGGTTCAGCAATTCTTTTTAAAATCGATTGAGCATTTAGCTTTTTTTCCAAAAAACTCGGGTTATTTATGTTAAACCGTAATAGAAAGAAAAATGTGATTATAAAACTAAAAAAAAGCTTTAAAAAAATGAAAGCTAAATGTTGGATGTGTAAGCGAAAATGTGAAAAACGATACGAAATTTTGTTTTTTACCATTGTGCCAGTGACTCGCTCATATTTCACCAAATGAACGGCGAATTGAGCCTACAAAAATGGGGAACAAGTTTCGCTTTTAAAGAGGATTTTAAAGAAATGAAAAATTTGAGTAAAAGAACTCACCTTATTCTCGAGAATCAATGGTTTTGTTGTTGAAAAAGTGGGGATGATTTGCAGGGGGACAATCTGAAGAGCTGATTCTTTTAATGATCAATCTTTTCTGGTGATCATGGGCGAATTGAGTTCAGTTTAATATTTTTGAATGCTCTTTTTGAATGCTCTTTTTTAATGCTCTCTTTACAGTAAAACTAGCGCAAAAACTGGCGCAAAAATGGTTACCAACGCTCAAGCGTACGTCTAGATTTTACAAGATCTAATAGAAGATCTAGTAGATTTAATAGATCTAATAGAAGATCTAGTAGATCTAATAGATCTAATAGATCTAATAGATCAACAGATTAACAGATCCAACAGATCTAACAGATTAACAGATCCAACAGATCTAACAGATCCAACAGATCCAACAGATCTAATAGTTCGAATAGATCTAATCGATCTAATCGATTTAACAGATCTAATAGATCTAATAGACCTAATAGACCTAATAGATCTAATAGATCTAATAGATCTAATAGACCTAATAGATCTAATAGATCCAACAGATCCAGCAGATCCAACAGATCCAACAGATCTAATAGATCCAATAGTTCTAATAGATCTAGTAGATCTTGTAACTAATTGTTTTACAAGAGCTATTAGATGAAAAGACCAGGTTATGTATTAGATTGTCTATTAGATGATTAGATCTATTAGATCTATTAGATCTGTTAGGTCTGTTGGATCTGTTGGATCTGTTAGATCTGTTGAATCTGTTGAATCTGTTGATCTGTTGGATCTATTAGATGAAAAGACCAGGTTAGACTCTAAAGCTGGACGTTGTTTAGAACGACAAGTCAAATCGAATTAAAACTAAACCTTATTTATGCTAGGTTAGATCTAAACCAAATAGGTTAGATCTACACCTTATTGAGTTTGCAGTAAATCCAGGTGAAACCTTTTGGTTGACTTTCTTTTCCTCACCTGAATCTCATTCCCGTCTTGCGTTTGAGCCGATTGCTCGCTGTGATTTCTCGGCTCTTTTACCAAACGTTCCATTTCAAGTAGTACTAAAAATCAAATATATATTACAAAATGACAAAATAAAAAGAAAAATCAAAGAAAAATCAAAGAAATGAAAGCTCACTCACAGCTTTCCCTTGTCTCAACTTTTGATATGTTCTCATTTGTCGATTTTTCAGTTAATCGACTCAAATGGCCGTTGATTAGCTAAATTTGATTATAAAGAAAATAAACTAATAGTTAAGTAATAAGAAAATGAAGCACTTACCGTTGATTGATGAGTTTTGTTTAGCCAAGTTGCCTCGAGCCGGGGTTCTTGACGGGGCAGACTGTAGCGGAGGAATGAGACCTGGAAGAGAGCTTTGAAACCGATAAGAAAACTTTCGAGAGATGTAGCTATTTGGTATATTCAAGAGTGTTATAACCGGATCCTAATAGGACAGTAGCTGTAGACAGGCTAGCTGTAGGCAGGCTAGCTGTAGGCAGGCTAGCTGTAGGCAGGCTAGCTGTAGACAGGCTAGCTGTAGACAGGCTAGCTGTAGGCAGGCTAGCTGTAGGCAGGCTAGCTGTAGGCAGGCCTGGTCAGGGTCAGTTCTAGTCTGACTTCTGATGATCCAGGATCCAGATCTTCTGATTGTTTAAGAAAATTTCCTTTAAAGACTTAGACATAGATTTTCTAATGATAGACGTACAAAATCCAATTTTTTGCTCTCCAATCCAATCCAATCTTCAAAGGCTAGCTTTTAATCTGATCTTACGTCAAGTCTTGGTGTCGAATCGTTCAAGATCTCGATCTCGTGAAGCACGCGTCGCGATGGAAACGAAAATGATGAGCCTCGACCAAGTAATGGGATTCTGGGCCTGGAAATTTGTTTGAAATGTTTAAGTTTTGATCTGTTTAAGTTAGATCTTTTTAAACTCAAATTGATTTTAAATGCCGTATTCTCAGAGTTCTATTAGAGTATTTCAGGCCTGCCGTTCAGAAGTCAGACTAGAACTGACCCTGGCCAAGCCTGTCGTTCAGATGTCAGACTAGAACTGACCCTGGTCAGCCCTGCCGTTCAGATGTCAGACTAGAACTGACCCTGGTCAGCCCTGCCGTTCAGATGTCAGACTAGAACTGACCCTGGAAAGGCCTGTCGTTCAGAAGTCAGACTAGAACTGACCCTGGTCAGCCCTGCCGTTCAGATGTCAGACTAGAACTAACCCTGGTCAAGTCTGCCGTTCAGATATCAGACTAGAACTGACCCTGGTCAGCCCTGCCGTTCAGATGTCAGACTAGAACTGACCCTGCTCAGACCTGCCTACAGCTACTGTCCTATTAGAGTCCGGTTATAGCACTCTTGGATATACCAAGTAGCTACATCTCTCGAAAGTTTTCTTATCGGTTTCTCAAAACTCTCTTCCAGTTCTCATTCCAACGGTAAATTCCTACGGTAATAAATTATAGAGTTTATCTTTTTGACTAACTTGCTGAATCGTTGTTTGACAGTTGAGGCGGAGGCATCAGTAAAAAAGGCTTGCTGTGAGAGGATGTGAGTCCAAAGGTGCTTGGCGAAGACTTGATTTGGGCACAAGAATTTGATTGTCGATTTTCTCTTTTCCTTTAGTGGAATCTGAAAATGAAAGAATTAGAGGTCTATTGAAGGCGTTGAAGTTAGATTAAAAGAAGTTTTTTTGCTTCAACCCAACAAGGGAATGGTCAGAAGCGGTCGTGAAATTTCGGCACGAAAATTTGGTGCAAATAAGACCAATAAGGCCTTCAATAGGCCTTCAATAGGCCTTCAATCGGCTTTCAATAGGCCTTCAATAGGCCTTCAATAGGCCTTATACCAATAAGACCAATAAGGCCTTATCTAGCGGCAATGGGACACGTGTAGCTCATTGATAGGATGTTCGCGCGATAAACGAAAGGTCGCGGGTTCGAATCCTGTTGGCTATATTTTGCTTTCCCAGTCCCAACCCATAAAAGAAGTCCAACTGGCCAGAGTCTGTAAAGAAAAAAGGCCAAGACTTGGCACTGACCTGGTCTAGTTGCTGGGTCAAAAATAGGTTTTGAAGTCAGCTGACTAGATCTGGCTATAAGCAATCTCGTTTAGCCACTGAACATAGCCAACCAGTCATGCTAGTGAGTCATGAGGCAGAGATCGACTAGTGCTTATTCAAGCGCTTGTTAAATGAGTTGTATAGGTGGAATCGGGAAGGTTTCTAGTAGAGAAATATAGCCAAGATTAAGGGCTACAATTCTCTATATAACACTAAACACTTCGAAATAAATTAAGCGTTCGAAAACAAGTTTTCCGAAAACTTTTCCAAAAAGTTCTCAGATAATTTTGGCCAAGTCAATCTAATATTTTCATTTTCAATATAATATTTTCATTTTCTATATAATATTTTCATTATTCAACAATTAGCCGAACCATTTTCTCCTTTTGTGTCTCATCATTGGTTAGATTTAGATTTAGTGTAGAGGTTGGAGGGATATAGTCATCGGTTGGCGTGAGTCGAAGTTCTTGAGCCAAATAGTCCACTTTGACGAGTTGTTTCCTAAAAATTGGATACATTATTGAAACAACCAGTTGAAACAAACAAACAAACAAACAAACAAACAAACAAACAAACAAACAAACAAACAAACAAACAAACAAACAAACAAACAAACAAACAACAACAAACAACAAAACAAACAACAAAACAACAAAACAACTTATTTACAACTAACAAACCATTCAATTTGATGTGCTTTCACATTTCCCTTGTAGATAATCACTCCACGATGTGTGGCACCCAAAAAAATCGATTGGATAGGCTCTCGGCGATCCTTAAGCGCAAAAAATGTTACAGAAATGTTTTATAGCTAAAATCCTACTTCTTTATCATGAATTATTCTGAATTTGATTTGATTTTTGAATAGATTTCATTGAAAAGACAACTAGAATGAACATTATAAAGCTATTTATACTGTTTTCCCCCAGATCTTTACCCAATTAGAGAAATGTTGAGGGAAATTTACCTTTGTTTTTGTCTTTGTCTTTGTCTTTGTCTTTGTCTTTATCTTTATCTTGATCTTTATCTTTATCTTGATCTTTATCTTTATCTTTATCTTTATTTCCCATCAAATCCAAATATACAAACCTTTACAGTATACGGATCAAATCCGTATGTATCCAACTCGCAGGCACGCTCGAGAAACTCCAACTCGGCTTCAGAGGCACTGCATTTCCCGCTGGAATGTCAGATTACAACACTTCTTGAAAAAAAGGAAAAGAAAAATCGGAAGCAGGGATCGAACTTGGAAGGTCTCGCTCTGGAAAAGCGCTTTACCCCTCAGCCACAGCCATACCGTGCAGGCCCCGCAGGAAGACCGTTAAGACCTCCCCGCTTGGAGGCCGCTAAGGTTAAAGAAGGTCCAAAAGACCTCCAAATGACGACATTCAAAGTCCTAACAAAACTTTAGACGCTTGAAACTACTGACAGATTGTCATTTAGCAAAAACGGAATATCAATTCGGAATCAGCATTAGATTCTGGGTTTAATGGCATAGATTGCATAGGATTTAGCCTTGTCTTTTTAGATGTAAACACCCTTTTTCTAATGCCTTAAATCTACCTCATTTCCCTATGCAATTCCTCGATCTTTTCCTCGATTTTCGGCGTTTGCTTGAGAAGTAATTTGTACTTGGAAGCGTAAAGTTCCCCGTGAATCGCTTCATCATAATCACCCAGTTGTGCTGAAAAAGATTTTTATATGAAATGCAAATTTTTCATTCAAAAAAACTCAAGGATGCACCAGTGATCAGTGTACTTTGTGTTTATTTCCATAAACACACCGTTTCTAGTGCACTAAACGCTTGATTTTTCGCGTTAAAATTGATGGTTTTTTGGTTGAGAATTGAGGAATTGATTGAAGGAATGAAAAAAAAGGGTTTAAAAGTGAGCACAAAGGAAATTCACTAAAGTTTCTTGATTTTATTTTATTTTATTTTATTTTCCATTTTCCATTTTCTATTTTCTATTTTCTATTTTCTATTTTCTATTTTCTATTTTCTATTTTCTATTTTCTATTAGGTTGGTAACCAAGAAGCTCCAAAACCGACTCCAAAACCGGACATCCACGGAAAAAAAGGTGATGCTTTATGTTTGGTGGAACAGTAAAGGCCTGGTGTACTTTGAGGTTCTGGATTCGGGTCAAACAGTTACGGCGAACCTCTACCAAGGCCAATTGGGCCGCGTGGACCAGGCACTGCGACGCGTGGACGTCAAGGTGTGGATACGGCGTCGACAAAATAAGACCAAAAACACGGGAGTCGACCTCAAATCATCGACAACGACGCATTGAAGGAAGCCATTGAGTCGGACCCACGCCAAACCACTCGCGACCTGGCAGAACAGTTCGGCTGCACTCATGTCACCATTGAGAACCATCTGCATGGCATGGGCAAGACGAATCGATGCGGAAAATGGGTACCGCATAAGCTATCCGACGCAAACAAGGCGACACGCATCGCAATCGCCGGAATTCTCACTCACCGCGCCAAGAACAGTGGGTTTTTCGACTCCATTGTTACGTCGGATGAGAAATGGATCCAATACGACAACACAGCAAGAAAGCGGCAGTGGTTGGCCCCCGGTGAAGCTCCAAAACCGACTCCAAAACCGGACATCCACGGAAAAAAGGTGATGCTTTGTATTTGGTGGAACAGTAAAGGCCTGGTGTACTTTGAGGTTCTGGATTCGGGTCAAACAGTTACGGCGAACCTCTACCAAGGCCAATTGGACCGCGTGGACCAGGCACTGCGACGTCAAGGTGTGGATACAAAATTCCTCCACGACAACGCTCGGCCGCATGTCGCAAAAATCACCCAGCAGAAAATTGAAAAAATGGGCTGGGAAGTCCTGCCTCATCCGCCATACAGCCCAGACTTGGCGCGTTCCGACTACCATCTGTTCCGATCAATGCACCACTCCTTGGCCGAGAAAAAGTTCAAGAACCGCGACGAGGTCCAAATTTGGGTGTCCAACTTCTTCGAGTCGCAGCCGGTCGAGTTCTTCATGAAGGGCATCCATTCTCTGCGTGAACGTTGGCGACAAGTCATTGATGCAGATGGCGAAGACCTTTTGGATTAATTGTTATCTTGTTTTTATAATAAAATAAACTTTTAACAAAAACGCGCATTTCTTTTTAACCAACCTAATATTTTCTATTTTCTATTTCTCTAGAAGCTGCAAGCTCTATAGAAAGTTCTATTTCTTGTTCTGCAACTTCGATTTCTTGACACTCACATTGCAAAACAAGAGCTGCAAGATGAGCGGCTGTTCCTTGAGGACAATAAAGACGACCATGTAAAAGATCACGTTGCAATTGCACAAACAATTGATATCTAGAAATAAAGAGAATAAAAGATTATCGATTATTTAAAGGCTAAATTATAGAGCTAATTAAAGTTATCTAAAGAATCTAAAGAATAGAAACTAATAGAAAATCTTTCAAAAATTCAATGGCTATTTTTTTAATAGAAATTTTAAGGCTTTACTATTAAGACTTTACTATTAAGCCTTTACAATTAAGGCTTTACTATCAAGGCTTTACTATCAAGGCTTTACTATCAAGGCTTTACTATTAAGGCTTTACTATCAGGGTTTACTATCAAGGCTTTGCAATTACTATCAAGGCTAATAACAAAAGATTACTAACAAAAGTTCTAGATCTATTTTTCTAACAGTCCTCATCACTAACCTCGTAATTTCCTCTCTTAACATATGTGGATCATTTGGATAAAAACGGAATCGAAGTCGTAACGTCAATGTGTCAGGAACTGTAACTAAAAATGAGAATGAAATGGATTACAAAGCTGAACTCACATTTAAACTGCTTCGCCATATGGGAGATCGGTTTTGAGAGATCGACCCAGTACTAAAGAACGATAAAAGAACAGTTTCTGAGGTTTAAGGGTATTCGGAAGATGAAATAATAATCTAGCTATAACATTGAACACTGACAATGAACCATATCAAGAAGCCGAACTAGATCAGTGCCAGGATCAGTGATCAAACTAGATCAGTGTCATATGGATTGCTTGGGTTTGATCTGATCTAATCTTGTCTGATCTAGTTAGTCTAACTATTGTAACTTGAATTGTTTGGCCCTGACCTGTACTAGCCTCAAGCGGCCTTAGAACCTGGCCTTAGACCGGCCTGAAGTCAACCTTGGGTTCCCTTTACTTTCCTTTAGACAAAACCAGAATGTACATTACAGGATGCAGCAAGATTATTGCAACCAATATTTAAGAATAGAAACCGATAAATGCTGCTTGCTGCTTGCTGCCTGCTGCTTGACGCGAGTCTTGAACCACTCGAGCCTTGTAAGCATAAGCATCATGATCAGAAATCAACTTAAAAACTTTAACAATTGATTTGTAAAGATATATTAAACAAGAAAAACTGATCTCTGCATTTAGAAAGATCTCTAAAAAGAAATTTGGGAAATTTCCTTGACCAAATGGTAAGCGGAATCAAGTTTATCGAGTTTTGGAAGAAATCTCTTAAGCGAATTGTTACTGGAGCCCGGTTTTAAGCACGTTTTTGCTTCAAGAACATTCCAAAGACTGAAATCCATTGCATGCCAAGCCTTGAGGGACTTGAGGCTGACCATTAATGGTAGCCAAATCGGCAAATACTGCTTGACGTCAGTCTGTGCTCCAAACCGTATTCCTGAGCCTGAGCTAGTTAGCCTAAGCCTAAGCCTAAGGGTTCAGCCCAAACCCAAATAGACTTAGTGCTAGGCGCTAGCCGCTAGCCTTCGCACTAAGTCCAAGCCTAAGCCTAAGCCCACGCCTAAGCTTAAGCCTAAGTCTAAGCCTAAGCCTAAACCTAAGCCTAAACCTAAGCCTAAGCCTAAGCCTAAGCCAGAAGAAGGTCTTTCTTAAGCAGTGTTGAGATAGTTGGAACTAGCATTGATACGGTTGCAATAATCCTGCCGCAGTGAGGCTGGACTTTACCTTTACCTTTGTATTAAGCTTACTTGTCCCTCGTTAGCTTTTCAACTCACTCTATGCCTATCATGATCCTGATATCGTAGCCCAAAATAATCGGTTTCTTTGATGTTCATCGTCTCCAGGACATAGTCGAGGATAGCCTGCGCGGGCTCGGAGCGCTGAAAGTTGGTTGTTAGAAAGAATTTCTGTGAACTAAGGAGGTACTTGGTCAAACTCGTCAAAGCCAGTTGTCATTAACTAGATCTCAAGATGTCAGGAATGCCTGTACTGGCTCAAGGGCAATTACTTAGCTCTAGATTCGATGCGGATTCAAATTCGACTAGTCAAAGTGTTGCAGATGTTGCAGATTTCTTATGAGAATGATTGAAGCTGACTTTGATATCATTTCAAAGTCTGAAGCCAAAGTTAAAGAGTTAAAGTTAAAGAGCTAAAGCTAAAGAGTTAAAGTTAAAGAGTTAAAGTTCTCAAAGTTAACAACAATACTATCTCTGATCTCTGAAGAAAGTTACAGAAGAAATCTTATAGAAAGAAAGTTATAGAAAAGAAAGTTATAGAAGTTATAGAAGCTTAACCATCAAAGCTTATCTAAAATGCCCAGATTTCATTTAAGATCCAAAATTCTTTTCTTATTTTCATTTATTAGATCTTGGGCATAATTGCTGGCATAATTTATGAAATTTGCAAAACAATTTTGTGTATATAATTGATCTCTAACTACAGTAAGCCATTAGAATGAGATTTTTGAGGTTTACAAGGTGAGGTTTACAAGGTTTACAAGGTGTAGACCCACCTTGAACTCCGAAGTGATCGTCTCCGTGTCATCGAGCAATTGAACAGCAACCTGGAAACAAGAAAGGTGAGTATGGACTTGAAAAGACAGCAGATCAAGGTGGCTTTTTACTAGAGCCATCAGCTTTTATAGAATCGGCTATACTGATTCTGAATGTCACGGGATTGAATTGGATTTGGATTGAATTTGATTTGGATTGAATTGGATTGAGATTGAAGCTTATACCGAGAACAAACTTCAAAAGAAAACCTTCAGTCGTTCTGGAGACAAGCACACTATCATCTGCGCCACTAGTTCTCTATTTAAACAAGATAAAAAAAGCAAATAACAGCCGAAAGTCGGCCTAAACTTTGATGCCAAATATCTCGCGTTACAAAGCTTCTTTGGAAAAAGTAAAAGCATATTCAGAATCAGCATTGCTTATTCTATAAAGTCTTCTATTAAAAGATCAGCTTGATCTGGTGATTTTCCCTAGTGAGCTGTACTTTGTGCTCTTCTAAACACTTCTAAACAGTGAGCTGTACTTTGTGCTCTTCTAAACGCATTCTTTTCACAGCACTGAAAGAGTTTTTCAATGTGCGGAAATGAGTGCACTAGGAAAGCACTAGAAAGCTTTTTGTTTTTATAAAAAGCCAACCTTAATCACTTTCTTTTTGGCGCCAAAGCGAAAGATTCCCATGAAAGATTCCCGAGAATCGTTTTAGATTTTTAGATTTTATAGAAAATAATGATTTTTTGCAACTTCAATCGGTAGCTAGGTTACATCGAATTTTTGAGAAGTCGGGCCTCAAAAAAAAATGAAAATATTGAAAGAAAAGCTTTATGGGTTCGTTTGGAAAGAAGGGGGAAGGGTTAGGAAGCAGAATTCGAGAGATTGGCTGGGTGGGCAGAGTCCTCAGCGGGCCTCAGCGGGCCCTCTTTGACTAGAGTTGGGCAGTTAGGCTCTTGGTCGTCAAAGGGAAAGCGGAGAAGGAATATAGAGTGAAGGAATTTGGGGAGAAAGCGGAGAAGACACACTTTGTGAGGAATTGGAATTCGGTTAGAGATTGGAAGGGGAAAGGAGAGGTAGAGAGAGATGCTAAATTGGGGAAACATTGTTGAATTGAAGAGAGAGAGTGTTGAATGAGAATTGGGATGGACAAGTGGCTGGAGGGGATTAACTGAAGGAATAGAATTAGAAAAAGAGATCGGAGGGAAGTCTAGATAAGGTAGAATTAGAGAAAATGGGAATGAGTGAGGGAAGTGATGAGAAAAGGGATTTGAAAATGGGAAAGTGTGAGGAAAGCGATGAGGAAAGTGATGAGAAAATGGATTTGAAGAGATTTGAAGAGATTTGAAAGAAAGAATAGAAATAGAAGCGACAGAAATAGATATTGAAAACCAGATAAACATAGAAAAACAAGGAAAACAATGAGAATTGAAAAGTTATATGAAAAAAGTGATAGAAATTGAGAAACTAGATGGATGAAAGCTGTGAAAAAGTGGGAATTAGTACGAGAATTAGGCAATAAATAAAATAAAATAGAGAGACCATAAAGAAATAACAAAAAGGATTTGTTGAGAGACGTATTTCTGAAAAAGCGGCAAACGAATAGACTCAAAAAGGAATAGAAAAGAGAAAGGTTTGGTGGAAAAAAAACACATTATATTAGACATTATATTGGGTTGTCCAGCTATGAATGCGCGTTTTTTACTATTTGGTAAATTTCTCAAGATACCGAAATCAAGAAAAAGATATATATGTCGTAGCCACTAACGAAATTCAGCCGCTAACGAATGAGGGTATTTCCGGGCATCCAATCAAAAAGTCACCCACATAAAAAATGTTCATAATACATATATTTTATAATAAATTTTTGAAATTAACTCATTTGGTTCAGTAGAAAATTTTTTTTGAGCCCCCAAAGTTTAGGTTCAAAAATGCCCCTGAAATGGCTATAAAAAATTTTCTACTCAGCCAAAAAACTTGCCTAATAGCTTATTTTGTAGCCAATTTGATGTAGTTTCTTAAAGTAAAGCTACATTGAACATTTGTTTTTCAAAGCTAGGAGAAAGAGAGCGAGGAACGACTTCAGTTGAACTCGGTCGCTGTTTTCACATTTGAGAATTGCCCTGAATTTGTTCCTCGCCCTCTTTCTCCTACTTGCAACGAAAAATTGTTTTTGATGGCTTTACTTTAAGAAACTACATCAAATTGGCTACAAAATGAGCTATTAGGCAAGTTTTTTGGCTGAGTAGAAAATCTTTTATAGCCATTTTAGGGCATTCAAGGGAAAACTTTGAAGGCCCATAATTTTTTTTTCTTTTTATCCAATCTTGCTAATTTTAAAAATTTAGCATAATTATTAATGATTCTGCGTTGAATGGTACTGAATAGTTGATGGTTGGATGCCTGTACTGTACTGTACTGTCCTGTATACAGTCTATCGTAGTCAATTATCAATAAGTGAGTCTAGAAGCGTCCAACCATCAAGTATTTGGTATCATTCAACGCAGAATCATTAATAATTATGTTAAATTTTTAAAATTAGAAAGATTTGATAAAAAGAAAAAAAAATTAGAGCAAAAACACTGTTTGTTCAAGAGGAAACTTTGAGGCCCCATAATTTTTTTTCTTTTTATCAAATCTTTCTAATTTTAAAAATTTAACATAATTATTAATGATTCTGCATTGAATGATACTAAATACAGTCGAACCTCTCTATAACGAACCTCGATATAACGTAAACCTCTCTATAACGTAAGGCGTGACCGGTCCCGGCCGACGTTAAGCTATATAAAACGGCACTCTATATAACGTAAACCTCTATATAACGTAAGCTATAGCCGTCCCGTGAGTTACGTTATAGAGAGGTTCGACTGTACTTGATGGTTGGACGCTCCTAGACTCACTTATTCATAATCGGCTACGACATATATATATGTTGTGTCCGATTTAGATTTCCGTCCGATTTAGATTGAACTTATCGCGGACGTCCGATTTAGATTACAGTCTATATCGGACGACTCAATCTAAATCGAACGTCTTATATAGATTGAACAATAATATAAACATGTTTAGTATATGTTCTTAAGCGTTTTCTGTAGTTTTCTGCATTTTCAAAGGTCTTTTATTGATTATTTCATAGTTGGGGTTTCTTTTCAGAAAAAGACAGTAACAGACCTTTGAAAAATGCAGAAAACTACAGAAAACGCTTAAGAACATATATTAAACATGTTTATATTATTGTTTAATCTATATAAGACGTCCGATTTAGATTGAGTCTAAATCGGACGTCCGATATAGACTGTAATCTAAATCGGACGTCCGCGATAAGTTCAATCTAAATCGGACGGAAATCTAAATCGGACACAACATATATGCAAAACAAAGAAAAAAAAGAAGAAAACGTGAAAAAACGAAGAATGAAAATGAGTGTGATAACGATAGAAATAGCAATAAATCTATAGAAATAGATAAAATGAATGAAGAGTGAATAAAAGAATGAAAATGGATTGAATTAGAGTGAGAAAATGGAGTAAACAATGCTTGGGGAAGTTTAGAAAACAAAGAATAGAGATGGAAATGATAGAAAATAGATGGAAATGATAGAATAGAGATAAAAAAGAATCAAGATAATGTCAAAAAAAAGCTTAAAAGGGATAGACTTTTGCACAAAATGAACAGAGAACTGAAAAAAGATCATGAAAAATTCGATAAGAAACAAATAAAAGAAGAAAAAAGAACAGAAAAGAAAGAAAATTTTATTTTTAAACGGTGAAATGTGGCTCATCATTTCCTTTTTTGATTCTTTCTCTGTTTTTCAGAATTTTTCTGTATCTTTTCTATACTTTTCTTGATTCTTCTTTATTTTCTTCTTCTTCCCCTTCTTCTCTTCCTTCTTTCCTTCTTCTTCTCTTTCTCTTCTTCTATTTCTCTTCTTCTATTCCTCTTCCTCTTCTTCTTCTCTCCCTCTTCTTCTATTCCTCTTCATCTTCTTCTATTCCTCTTCCTCTTCCTCCTCTTCTTCTTCCTCTTCTTCTATTCCTCTTCATCTTCTTCATTCCTCTTCATCTTCTTCTATTCCTCTTCCCTTCTTCTATTCCTCTTCCTCTTCTTCTATTCCTCTTCCTCCTCTTCTTCTTCCTCTTCTTCTATTCCTCTTCATCTTCTTCTATTCCTCTTCATCTTCTTCTATTCCTCTTCCTCTTCTTCTATTCCTCTTCCTCTTCTTCTTCCTCTTCTAAAGCTTGGTAGCTGAAAGTCTCAACGAAAGCTTAAATCTTGATTTGACTAGATTCTCTAAAAGTGCTTATCACTACTGGACAATGAAATATCATATTTGAAAATCATATTTGAAAAACGATCGTTACTTTCGCGCGTCTGTAACTCCCTTGTCTTCGAGTTTAAACTATTAGTGTTATACATTTTCTGAAAGCTCTTTTCAAGGGCTACACAATGGTAATATTAATATTTAGAAATACGGTAAAGACAAAGGAGTTACAGACGCGCGAAAGTGACGATCTTTTTTCAAATATGTTATTTCATTGTCCAGTAGTGTACTTTAAAAAATTATCCAATTATAAATGTTATAATGTTTCCGAAAAGATAAAAACTTCAAGAAGAAAACGTAAATCTAAGGCAATATAAGGCAATATAAGGAAACAGATTTCTACAAGATTCCCTCCAGCTTACGGTAGCTAGAGCAAGCTTTAGATCACCTAATCAAGCTGTTAAGAAAAGGGGCACGCTTTAGGAAACGTCTTCTTCTATTCCTCTTCCTCTTCTTCCTCTTCCTCTTCTTCTCTTCCTCTTCTTCTCTTCTTCTCTTCCTCTTCCTCTTCTTTCCTCTTCCTCCTCTTCTTCTCTTCCTCTCTTCTTCTCTCCTCTTCTTCTCTTCCTCTTCTTCTTCTCTCCCTCTTCTCTCCCTCTTCTTCTATTCCTCTTCTTCTATTCCTCTTCTTCTCTTCCTCTTCTTCTCTTCCTCTTCTCTTCCTCTTCCCTCTTCCTCTTCCTTCCTCTTCTTCTATTCCTCTTCCTCTTCTTCTTCTTCTCTTCCTCTCCCTCTTCTTCTCTCCCTCTTTTTCTCTTCCTCTTCTTTATTCACACGGAGATTCGTTTTTTTCTGTTAAACGCAAAAAAAGAAGCAATTCGTTTCGTTTTATTGTTTTTCATTAGGAAACCGGATTTGAAAATCAGAGTGATTGGATTTGGGGAAAATAAACAGATAACGAATAAAACCAGTGGAATAGAGTTGACTAGGGAAAGATCAGGGAAAGATCAGATTGCCCAAGCGCGAGTTTTATGACCAAAGTTTTATGACTTCGGCAAGTCGAACACGGGCAAAACGAATTCAGCTTTCGAATGAGCTATAAAACTTGTAGATTAATTGGATTTAAGTTTAACCTCTCCCAAAAAACAGACAGAATTTCCCTTACAACCAAATAGATTGGCTGACTCTGGCCTTTGCCTGGCCTGGTTCACCTGGCTGCTTGGCCTGGCTTGATCTGCTAATTTGAAAGATTCCTTGTGCTTTAAGATCATTAAGCATTCTACAAGCGATTTTCTAGTATTCGTTGAGTTGATTCGTTGAGTTTATCCCTCCCAAAAACTCTCCCAAAAAAAACCCGAACAAAGCTTACTTTCCAACGCATCTACACAAAGCAAAACATTCTAGTAAAGCCATAAAAACTGAATCAAAATCAAATTAAACGATTTTCATTAAACGATCATTTTTCTAAAAGCCTATTTGCTTTTTGTCAAGAAAGTTCTGTTTGCAAATGTTATTGAAAGGAAAGTTCACGAAGAAATCTCTTTTGTAAATCAAATAGATGTTCAAAAGATGTTCAAAAGATGTTCAAAAGCCATGTTCAAAAGATTGAATTGAAAGTAGCACTCAGGAATTGAAATGTAATGGAAGAAAAGATTGGAACAAAAGATTAGAACAAAAAATTAGAATAAAAAATTAAAGCTAAACTTTGTAAATGTTTGGCTTATTTTAAAGGATTTTATAAAAAGCCGAGTCTTTTATTTTACGCAATAAAAAGTATTTTGTTGAGGACTTTTTCAGATTAAAACTTTTCAAGTTAGGAAAAAGGCGAAGTAAAGTCAAGCCAAGCCTAGGTTAGCTTGGCTAATAGCTGAGCTTAGGCTTAGCTTGGCTAATAGCTGAGCTTAAGCTTAGCTTGGCTAATAGCTGAGCTTAGGCTTAGCTTGGCTAATAGCTGAGCTTAAGCTTAGCTTGGCTAATAGCTGAGCTTAGGCTTAGCTTGGCTAATAGCTGAGCTTAGGCTTAACTTGGCTAATAGCTGAGCTTAAGCTTAGCTTGACTAATAGCTGAGCTTAGGCTTAGCTTGGCTAGAAGAAAATAGAAGAAAATGGAAGAAAATAGACAAAAATAGACAAAAATATTAGAATATTGACGGTAATTAGACTCTTTTTTCCTACCTTCATTTCCTTTTTCGATGTGGCAAGCGAATAAACGGACATTCCTTCAAAATAAACCGATCCTGGCATCTCATAAAATTCAAATTTCCTTCTTTCGAATCTGAAAAAGGATAAAATTTAAAAGAATTTACATTGAATGGAAATTGTTGGCTTATTTTGCTTTCCCTTTCTTTTGTATACATTGAAAAATATGAGTAATAGAGTTAAAAGGACAATATAAAAGAAAAAAGAAAAAGAAAAGAAAAGAAAAGAAAAAGAAAAGCAGAAAAGGAAATCTGCTTATAATTTTATTCCGGGTGTGATTTTTAAAATCCCATCTAAAACTTTAAATGCATCTAACTTTTGACAGAGTGCTCTTTAGCAGAAACGGAAAGAAGATTTGGAATCAGCGTGAAATTCTGCGTCGCAATCGTGTCATTTGATCGTCGGCTCGTGTCATTTGATCACCATGCCCGGTTGAAATTCCTTTGTTAGATCTTTAGATCTTTAGATCACGCACTCTGTAGTGGGTTAGGACGCAAATCGAGGGCTGGTGGGTTCGAGTCCAGCAGGTGATCGTCGTTTTTCTTTTTTAGGTTTTGATGTCCTGGGGAAATCCTTACAAAACTTTAAACGCATCTAACTTTTGACAGAGTGCTCTTTAGCAAAAACGGAAATCAGCTTCGGAATCAGCGTGAATTTCTGCGTCGAATGGTCTATGGCTTGGGCAACACGTCTAGTTGATGTTCCCTTATGAGTTAGTTTAGCTTAGCCTATCTGATCTGCCCTTACAACAACCTCAAAAGCCACAGTAATCCAAAACCCTAGTCAGTACACTAGATTAAGTGTGTTCCCATCTCTTAATCCGTTTTCAAAAATTAGAACCTCAGGAAAGAGAACGACAATCAGTTACCGGACTCGAACCTCGCCGACTCAGCCCTCGTCTTGCATCCGTCTTGCATCTAGCTCACTACCACTCAGCCCCTAGTGGGTTAGGACGCAAATCGTGGGCTGCTTGGTTCGAGTCCGGTGGGTGATCGTCGTTTTTCTTTTTTTAGGTTTTGATGTCCTGGGCAAATCCTTACAAAACTTTAAACGAATCTAACTTTTGATAGAGTGCTCTTTAGCAAAAACGGAAATCAGCTTCGGAATCAGCGTGTAATTCTGCGTCGAATGGTCTATTGCTCATGCTATTCGACCAGCCTATTCTTCCCTTGTTAACCAAATGGTTTCCAAGTTGAGAAATGGTATTGCTATATGGTAAAACTGATAATAAAATATTGTAGCTTAAAATAAGCCAATCTTGGCATCTCATAAAATTCAAATTTCCTTCTTTCAAATCTAAAAAAGGATAAACTTTAAAAGAATTTACATTGAATGAAAAATTTTTGGCATTTTTTGCTTTTCCTTTCTTTTGTATACATTGAAAAATATGATTAATAGAGTTAAAAGGACAATATAAAAGAAAAGAAAAGAAAAACAAAAGCAGAAAAGGAAAAGAAAAGCACAAGAACAAATCGGGAATTTAGAAATGTGAAAAATAGGAAATGCTTAAGGGAAAAAAGATCATTTTTGACTTATCAAACATTTTTTAAAAAGTTTTTCTTCAAATCTAATGACACTTTTTCTAGATTTCATCACTATTTAACGTTTATTATTTTCCATTTATCATTATTTAACGTTTATCTAGTTTATCTAGTTTATTTTTGTCTATTATCTAATGAAAAGTATGAAAAATCTGCATTTTAGACTACCGTAAATACTGTAATAGTACCCCACCACCATAATGACGGTGCGGACTGTTGCGTAGTCTAGCTTGGAACGTGTTTTTCTCGACACTGGTTTATGCTACAATGCTAGTTTAGGTATCGAATAATAGCCCTCAATCTCAGCTATTTTTTGATACCAAAGACGTATTTTTTGAAAGTACGGACGCTTTGAAAAACAATGAAATACTAAAAAACTTTTGCGACTACGCGACTGTACGACGGGGGGCGGGGTACTATTACAGTACAATACAGTACAGTAGGTCTTTCCCAATTACACTTTTGATATCAAAAAATACTACCTTTAAAGGCTATCATTTGACACCAAAGCCACTTAAGTTGACTAAAAAAATAGCACTCTAATAGAACGCCATAATGACGAGCGTACAATCGCGTCGTCTTACTTTGAACATCCAAATCTGCGCACTGGTTTAAGCTACAGTGTTCGTTTTTGTGTCAAATGATAGCTCTTGAAATCTAGTATTTTTTTGATACCAAAAATGTAGTCTCGTACAATCGCGTCGTTTCTCTAGACGGAAAATCTCTAGACGGGCGTACAATCGCGTCGTCTTACTTTGAACATCCAAATCTGCGCACTGGTTTAAGCTACAGTGTTCGTTTTTGTGTCAAATGATAGCTCTTGAAATCTAGTATTTTTTGATATTAAAAGTATAACTAGGAAAGATCTAGGAGCTGCTCAAAATGCTCAAAAAAAGAATGGTGCTGAAAATTTGTAATTTGTATTCCTTCTGGCGCATTTGATTCTTCATTTATCTCTTGATACAAGAGATAAATGAAGATCTGCTGCAAGAAAAATGTAAAATGATGAACTAGAAAGGATTTGTTTACGGATTTGAGCATAAAAATAACTGACAATAGGGGAAAGATTGATAGCTGAACTAGAAAGTGCCGAACTTTCCAACTAGAAAACGTTTCCAGCTGAAACTCGGAGCAACGAAATTTTAAATGTTGATTTGACTAGATTCTCTAAAAGTGCTTATCTACTTTAAGCAATTATCCAATTGTAAATGTAAATGTTATACTATTTCCGAAAAGATCAAAACTTCAACAAGAAATGGGCAAGGCAATATAAGGAAACAAATTTCTACAAGATTTCCTCCAGCTTACGGTCTCTAGAGCAAGCTTTAGACCACCTAATCAAGCTGTTAGGAAAAAGGAGCACGTTTTAGAAAACAAATTAGTTTTAGGAAGACTTTAGTTTTGAAGAATTTTGCAAGTTATGACCTTATTTTGTTATTTATAAGGGATCTAGGCGTTGAAAGAATATTTGCAATGAGTCTTGTCATTTCCTTTCTTTTTCCTCATTGCCAGCTGGCCTTAAATAGTGCTGGCAGGTGGCCAACAAATGAAATGAATGGAAATAATGAAAGAAAAAAAAAGAGGTCAATAGGGTGTGATTAGTCATTTAGTTTGTTTGTTTGCCAAAAACTGAACAACCTGTGCATACTTTGTGCTCAATAATGCAACTTTTGTAAATGCAACTTTTCTTTGGCACTGAACTTCTGGGAAAGCTTCTACAAGCTTCTACAAGCTTCTACAAGCTTCTACAAGCTTCTACAAGCTTCTACAAGCTTCTACAAGCTTCTACAAGCTTCTGCAAGCTTCAGCAAGCTTCAGCAAGCTTCTGCAAGCTTCAGCAAGCTTCAGCAAGCTTCTGCAAGCTTCTACCAGCTTCTGCGAGCTTCTGCAAGCTTGGAAACCGTAAAATAGTCATCAACTCGGTACTATTATTAGAGAAAATACGATAATTGTTTGTGGGTAAAACTAAGAACTCAAAAATTTGCGAGGTAAATGATTTCGAGGTAAATGGGGGGGTAATCGAACGAGTAATGGACAGCTGAAATCTCTCTTTTCTTTTGCTTCTTTTCCTCAATTTGAAATGTTCCCGCCTTTACGAATGAAAGCGACGATTTTCGATGCCAAATCGATCCTTAAACCATTGACACAAAAAGAGAATTTAATTCAAGAATTCAAGAAAAAAAAAAGGAATTTCAAGCTTTAGTGAATTTTCCTATAAACAAATCCTATAAACTCTAAACAAAAGAGTTTTCAGTTTGATCCTTTTTCCTGGTTTTGATCCTTTTTCAACACTCCATTAAACAACACAACTACAACACCTTTATGAATCAACAAAACATCGCTTACTGACATCTTTTTGTTCAGAAACATAGCCGTCGTAGCCGACCGGATATGCGTCTTGTCTCCTAGTCGCCAGTTCAAAGCTTCACTTTCACTTTCATTATTCTTTTGATGGATTTTAAATAGATTTGAAACTTTGTCGCATTAAAAAGATCTGAAATAAATTTTTATTCAATATTTTTCATTAAATTTCAAGATTAATCCCAAAATGATAAAAAGACGATAAACGCTGTCAAATTCATTGTTTGAAAGAAGAATTGCAAAGCGAAATGTCGTTGAAAAATTGTTTCTTTTATTGTGTAGAGAAATTGTTGAAAGCTAAAGTGAATTTTTCAATTTTTGGAATTGAATTGTTGAATTGGAATATGTTTACAATAGTTTAAACAAGTTTAAACAAGTTTAAACAAGTTTAATCTAGTTTAATCAAGTTTAATCAAGTTTAATCAAGTTTAATCTAGTTTAATCAAGTTTAATCAAGTTTAATCTAGTTTAATCAAGTTTAATCTAGTTTAATCAAGTTTAATCAAGTTTAATCTAGTTTAATCTAGTTTAATCTAGTTTAATCTAGTTTAATCTATTGGGTTGGGGAGAATGAGTCGGCGCCAAACTTTAAAGGGACTTTTTGCACACATAAAGCCTTCTTTAAACATACGTTTGGTTTCATCAAAAGGATCCACTATTTCTCTACAAAATCACTTTTGAGAGATTCCACAAAGCTTTTCTTTCGTGGAGTTTACGAACTTCGAAACGCAGCTGGTTAAAATGGCAAAGAGTCCGACTCATCATTTGAACAGTTTCTTTCACATAAACCTTCTTTGGTGTTTATATAAAAAAGATAGAGCACATTCAATTACTTAAGTTGCCAAATTTGCAGGAAGTTCCCACCAAAGGTTTTTTCTAGATCACAGTTTGTAGTTTTTGTGAAAAAAAAGGCTTTTTCTTGAGCGGAGGCGCTGTTTGAATTTTCTTTTAAATGTGATTTTGTAGAGAATTAGTTAACCATTCTACTCATATCAAACGTATATTATTTGACGAAGTCGAATAGAAGTTTTAGACATTTTTTTCATTTTCGGCGCCGACTCATTCTCCCCAACCCAATAGTTTAATCTAGTTTAATCTAGTTTAATCTAGTTTAATCAAGTTTAAACAAATTTTTCACCAACCTTTTCCTTTTCTCGTCTTTCTTTCTACCGAATTTCATTTCTTTTAGATTTGGATGAGGGTAAACGACGACTATGACACAAGCAAATGACGTCATCCCAACACAAATCACCACATAAATTCCTTGAGAAAAATTTGATGATATCGTTTGAAACAATCGAACCTAGCAATGGGAAAACAGAAGTTTTTGGGATCGACGAGGATAACATGTCGAGAAGAACGGTCATCGAGACGAGACTCGTCAAACCGATACTCAACTAAATATAACACAACTAAAGACTAGGCTTGAACAATTGTACAATTGAATTGATCGAGAATTGAACGAGAATTGAACGAGAATTGAGCGAGAATTGAATTGAACGAGAATTGAATCAAAACTTGTGCGAATAGCTCTAGAGAAGGACTAGATTTGGATGTAGCTGGCGATGAGATCTTGTGGGGGATTAGAGTGTTCTCTAGAGAAGGACCAGACCAGCGAAAGCTTTCTGACTTAGGCAAGTCTGCTCTGCCAATGAGCTATACTGACGCGTTCGTTCGGTCAGGGAAGGGCTTTATGCCTTGCTGCCTTCTGGCTAGCTCGACAAAGCTTTGTCAAGCTTGTGAATGAGCATTTAGCTTGGACAAGGCCAAGCCTAGCCAATTTGAAGTAGCCTAAGCCTAAGTCTGATCCTAAGCCTAAGCCTAAGCCTAAGCCTAAACCTAAACTGGCTCGATAGCAAAAACGGAAATCAGATTCAGAATCAGCGTGAATTTCTGCGTCGAATGGGCTATGGTTTGGGCAGCACGTCTAGTTGATGTTCCCTTATGAGTTAGTTTAGCTTAGCCTATCCGATCTGACTTTACAACAAGCTCAAATGCTACAGTGATCCAAAACAGCAATCTAGGCAATACAGTAATTCCAAGCATTATAGGATGAGCCAGTTACGACAGCCAGCTACGACAGCCAGCTACGACAGCTAGCTACGTCAGCCAGCTACGACAGCTAACTACATCAGCCAGCTACGACAGCTAGCTACGTCAGCCAGCTACGAAAGCTAACTACATCAGCCAGCTACGACAGCTAGCTACGTCAGCCAGCTACGATCAGCCAGCTACGTCAGCTAGCTACGTCAGTCAGCTACGTCAGCCAGCTACGATCAGCCAGCTACGTCAGCTAGCTACGTCAGTCAGCTACATCAGCCAGCTATGATCAGCCAGCTACGATCAGCTACTAATTCCTCAGAAGCTACAGTAACCCGAAAAGATACCGTAACCCTAAAAGCTGAAATAGTAAGCTGAAAAGCTACAGTAGATTTCCAGCAAATCAGTACAATAACTCGTCTTCTCGTTTATTTTCAAAACAAACCTTCACCAATTGTTCACTTTTCACATTCGGCGTCCAGTACATGCCAACAATTGCCAGCATTGTCATGACAAAGCACGGCAAAGCGATCACGTAAACATAGTAGTTGGGAACGCGTTTCAAATCAAAAACCGGAGCCATCTGAATGGATTCTTGTTTAATTCAAAAGATTTACTACATACAACTTGAATTTCTGGACTCTGCATGTACGATAAAATCGAGACGTTTGTCATAATCCATTCACCGTTTCCCTGGGAATCTCAAATTTGGATTTCTCTTTGGATTTCTTTACCGGATTCTCGAGACTCACGCTTTCCACACTGCCCGTTGAGTACGAGTGTTTACTAAAGATGTATTGACAAGATTGTTCTATTGGGAAGAGTCCAGGGTCAGGACTAGGGCCAGATCTAATGAGAGTTAGATCAGGGCCTAGATCAGGGCTTAGATCCGGGCCACAGGAGCTAGACCAGGGTCAGGCCTGGCCAGGCCAAGGCCAAGAATCGATCTAGGAGCTGATCTAGCCAAGAATCGATCAGGAGCTGATCTAACCCTGACCTACGCTAAAGCCATGCCAGGAATAGATCAGCTAGCTGGGCAGTAATGTCCCAGCCAAGCCCTGCCCCTGCAAGTAATGTTAAGCCAAAAGTCAACCTCAAAAATTGACTGTGGCTCATCCTCGCCAAAAAAAAGCCGAGCGGACAAGTACTCGTGTTCAAAAACTCACAAATCATAGGCTAGCGAGCCGACCGGTATTGGACACGATTGCTTATCGAAGGGAAACGTTCCAACCTAAAATGCTTGAAGATCAGGAACAGGATCAACTGGGCTTAAGGCCTATAAGCTAAACTAGGAATTTAGCTTTTTGACTGGCCAACCGGATGCTTTCTAAAGCTTTCTAAAGCTTTCTAAAGCTTCCTAAAGCTGCCTAAAGCTTCCTAAGGCCTCGTAAAGCTTTCTAAAGCTTTCTAAAGCTTCCTAAAGCTGCCTAAAGCTTCCTAAGGCCTCCTAAGGCCTCCTAAAGCTTTCTAAGGCTTCCTAAGGCCTTCTAAAGCCTCCTAAGGCCTCCTAAAGTCTCCTAAAGACTAAAACTTGTTCCAGGCCATCGTAGCCCATCCATACTATGAGCTTGATCTTTATAGCGCTTCCTATTGTTACGGTTGATTTTACAGTACTGTTAAGCTTGTAGCTGGCTTGTATGAGATTATAGAAAAGAATTGGAGCTACTTGTAAATCTGGGTTGCAGAATTCGCGTCACTCTTTATTTGGGCTATGGTTACGGTAGCCTAGTTCAAGCGATAGGAAACGCAGATCTATAGAGATCGATAAAATCAATAGAATAGTGATTTATAAAAAGTTGGAGTCTAAGTGAAAATAGGGACTTTTTAAGATTCACCTTCAGCGAACAAGCCGCCTCGATATACACAACAATAGGCACGATCACCGTTCCATTGCTCAGGATTCGAATCGTTCTTGGCGTATCTGGATGCAGAGAGTCAAGGGATTTGCTGAAAGCTGCTCTGTTAAAAGCTGCTCTGTTGAAAGCTGCTCTGTTAAAAGCTGCTCTGTTAAAAGCTGCTCTGTTGAAAGCTGCTCTGTTGAAAGCTGCTCTGTTAAAAGCTGCTCTGTTAAAAGCTGCTCTGTTCAAAGCTGCTCTGTTGAAAGCTGCTCTGCTAAAAGCTGCTCTGCTAAAGCTGATCTGCTAAAAGCTGCTCCGCTAAAAGCTGCTCTGTTGAAAGCTACTCTGCTAAAAGCTGCTCTGTTCAAAGCTGAAACTCCAATAAGTTTAGTGCTAAACTTTCCAGTGATGTTGATAAGAATCACCTGCCCTTTCTACAATCGAATAGATTCCAACATAAAACCAACGTGTTGCCAAACTGCAAATCCGGTAGCCAAACGTTGTCGGCAGTTGAGAAAATCATGGAGATATTCGAGAAATCGTCTGGATCCCAAGCCAATCGCGGATCTCGCCAATTCTAGAAGTACTATAGAACAAAAATCAAACCGGATCAAACAGCAATCAGCAATCAAACAAAACGAAGAATTTATTTGATATAAACCGCAGTTTGACTGCAGTACCCAACAAAATTGGATTCGCTTCCTATTCGCTAACTTCCAATTTCCTATTCGCTAACTTCCAATTTCCTATTCGCTTCCTATTCTCTAACTTTACAAATCTCTAATCCGTATTAAAGATATTCTTGTTAATCAAATTGATGCCGAATCAAATAATCAAATACCTGTACTAGAATGGTCTCTTACTAGGAAGGCTCACAAATTTGCCTTCGCCTTTCGAAATGTGACCAAGCTCATACGATTGGAAATTCTTTTTCTGATGCCGAATTTCATAGTACCGTATTGTAACCAAATCGTTACCTTATTGGAATCAAATCGCTACCTTATTGGAACTCTACCTTATTCAAACCAAATCGTTACTATATTTGAACTAAATCGTTACCTTATTGAAACCAAATCTTTACCTTATTGGAACTCGCTACCTTATTGGAACCAAATTGTTACTATATTGGAACCAAATCTTTACCTTATTGAAACCAAATTTGTGTTCAGAGGGTGAAAGAGGGTAAAAATGTTTTTTTTAAGTTCGCGCACACCATTTTCCTCTGTCACATAGTGGCAGCAAATACTGCTAGATATGCCAGATGATCTACGTTTGTGATGAAACTGGAATAAGGCTCAATCCAATTGGAGGAAAGTGCATTGAAAAAATGAATGTACGATGGCCTAGTGGTTAGTGTGGCTACGCTTTTGCTTTCTGGTTTGGTTCCTAGTTAGAAAGCGTTTTGGCGCTCTGGTCAAGGCTCTAGTCAAGGCTCTGATCAAGGATCTAGTCAAGGCTCTAGTCAAGGCTCTGGTCAAGGATCTAGTCAAGGCTCTAGTCAAGGCTCTGGTCAAGGATCTAGTCAAGGCTCTAGTCAAGGCTCTGGTCAAGGATCTAGTCAAGGCTCTAGTCAAGGCTCTGGTCAAGGCTCTGGTCAAGGCTCTGGTCAAGGCTCTCTTCAAGGCTCTGGTCAAGGCTCTGGTCAAGGCTCTCTTCAAGGTTCTGGTCAAGGCTCTGGTCAAGGCTCTCTTCAAGGCTCTGGTCAAGGCTCTGGTCAAGGCTCTGGTCAAGGCTCTGGTCAAGGCTGAGCAATTTTTCAGTCACCTTTTAATTAAACTCAAAGAAATGAACTCACCATTGTATAACTGACCATTAGACTCAAAATTTGCCCTTCCGCGTCCTAAATTTAAAGATTAAAACAAAAATAAGAAAAAGAATTTCAGAATAGCTTTCAAATAGCTTTCAAAATGTCACCAAGTTGAACATTTTCACGTAACGAATGAGAAAGTTGACGGCCAAACGGGGAATTTCCGAGTCTAGAATGTACAGTGATAATGGCTTTTTGCTACAACCACAGTAGGTACTGTAAGTACCTACTGTGGGTACTGTAAGAGTTCCGTAGGTACTGTAAGAGTACTGTACTTTAAGCAATCACTTTCTCACCGCTAAAGTTATTTGGCATCATTGAATAAACGGGCGAAATGATTCGATTGTAATTTCTCTTTGTGAACAGCTCATCGTAAAGTTTTGTCGTTTCCTGCATATAGAGAGAATATTCTTCTAAACGATTTAGAGTTATAGTTGCTCGAGTTAGTTGTAGTTAGTTGTAGTTACAGTTGCTCGAGTTACTCGAGTTATTCGAGTTAGTTGTTCTCTGGTTTACTATTAGTTTTTAAAGGTGACTATACAGGTTGGAAGGTGTACCCAGCCGAGTTGGTGACGATTTTACGGCTTCCAAAGTTTTCCCGGAACCTCAACACTCTAATCATCGTCAAGATCTCATCGTCAGCTACATTTTCCGCCCACACATCGATAGATTCTGATAAGCGGTTCTAGAGATTACGAGGAATTTAGGCGACGCTCAGGGTGCACTACTATTAGAGAAAATACGGTATATAGATAAAGTACTTCGAATTTCAGAGGTGCCAACGACTCGGCTTTGGTTTCTTGAGAAAATGAAGAACTCAATGCACCAGAAAGCTTGTGATTATCAGTGCACAAAGTCCAGTTAACAAAGTGCATAAAGTCCAGTTAACAAAGTACACAAAGTACAGTGAACAAAGTACACAAAGTACAGTACAGTTAACATTCTACCAACCAGAGTCTCCATTTTTCTGCATGAAATCAAACTGGGCAAGAATGAAGTGAGGTAACAAGAGAAAGAATCGAAATTTCATTCGAAAAACGAGAAAATAATACGGCAGATTGGATGTTTCGTCAATTTTTCTGAAATTTTGTGCTCAATTTTGTGCTCAATTTTGTGCCCACCTACCCCCCAGGATTTCTCTGTTCTTTCGCGTGCTGAAGAGCCATCCAGGAACCCACTTCACAAGGTTGACTCGGTAAATATGCTTTAAAAGGGTAAAAAGTGGCATTTTTCATTTCCAAATATAGAACTTCTTGACGACTGAAGACACTTGAATTGTAAGGAAAAATTGAGTAGAGAAAAGACCCCGATCTTTGAAAGGTAAAACAAAATCTGTAAACGCATCCTTTCTGGTGGGCTGAATTTGAGAAAATCAGCAAATAGACTCGAATCAGAGTGAGTTGCCCAACTGGACAACTGGACAACTGCACAACTGCACAACTGCACAACTGCACAACTGCACAACTGCACAACTCTGCACAACTGGACAACTCTGCACAACTGGACAACTCTGCACAACTAGACAACTCTGCACAACTAGATAACTGGACAACTACCCGAAATGGTGTTTTCTATCCGTTTTCCATCAATCAAAATTGATGCCTGGACATAGTCATATAGAAAATCGGATTTTGTTGAATAGCACACCTCCTGACACTTGCTACATGAGATATAGCTCCAATACCCATAGCTCCATTAGCCATAGCTCCATTAGCCATAGCTCCATTAGCCATAGCTCCATTAGCCATAGCTTCATTAGCCATAGCTTCATTAGCCATAGCTCCAATACCCATAGCTCTAATACCCATTTGTGAAATGCATTATCGTGGCTTTAAGCGGTCTTGGCGTTAAGCTTTGGCCATTCAGTAAAAGAATAAATAGCTTAAGATCCAATCTATTATCTGCAGCTATTCCCGTCATTTAAAAAAGAAAATGAGAAATGTAGGCAAGCGAGAAAAGATAGGAAAATAAGAAGAAATAAGTCGAAAGCAGGTTCTGAAAATATCACCAATCGAATCAACGTACGCGAAAACCCTAGGCTTCCCCCCTTTTCTTGCCAACACAGAAATTCGTTGAATAGCACACCTCCGAACACTTGCTACATGTAAACTTGCCTCTTTTCTTGCCATGCGCTTCACATAGCATTCTTGAACTTCACATTCTTGAACTTCTTGAGCATAAGTTACGTTGAAGTTTATTGAGTCAACGATGTTGTCTTATTTAAAATATCTTAACTAAAAGAAACAAGTAAAAATAAAACAGAAAACTCACTTGTCGGAAACTCTCGGAGTTGTTGTCCAAATACAGCGCGTGTATAAATGTGTACAAATACAGCTTTGTGTTTCTGGAGGGCATTGATTCAATTGAAACATTCATAAAGATTCATTTATATCTAAATTTAGAGAAAAAAAAAATCATTTATACAAAGAAAGTACAATAAAAAGCAAGACTAGGGTCTTGTCTTGGTCCTTTTACAATTTCGTAGAGGAGGGCAGATCGGAGACAAATGGAGGACACTGTAAAAGCATAAATGATAACAAAATTGAAGCGAATGAAAACTGACGGCCAGATTACGGTAGTTTGTCTGAAATAAGATAGGGGAATTCTAGGGAATTTCTACTTCGATTTCCCACTCATTCTCCTCTCTTCATATCTTTTATGAGGTGATGGTGAACGCGATTGTTTCTCCTTTAAGCACTCCTCCTCGAACGAGCTCTGTCGAAAGATCTCTAGTCGAACGAGCTCTAGTCGAGCGGGCTCTAATCGAACGAGCTCTAGTCGAAAGAGCTCTAGCCGAACGAGCTCTAGTCGAAAGAGCTCTAGTCGAACGAGCTCTGTCGAAAGAGCTCTAGCCGAACGAGCTCTAGTCGAAAGAGCTCTAGTCGAACGAGCTCTGTCGAAAGAGCTCTAGTCGAACGAGCTCTGTCGAAAGAGCTCTAGTCGAACGAGCTCTGTCGAAAGAGCTCTAGTCGAACGAGCTCTAGTCGAAAGAGCTCTAGTCGAACGAGCTCTGTCGAAAGAGCTCTAGCCGAACGAGCTCTAGTCGAAAGAGCTCTAGTCGAACGAGCTCTAGTCGAACAACGAGCTCTAGCCAAACAACGAGCTCTAGTCGAACGAGCTCTGTCGAAAGAGCTCTAGCCGAACGAGCTCTAGTCGAAAGAGCTCTAGTCGAACGAGCTCTAGTCGAACAACGAGCTCTAGCCAAACAACGAGCTCTAGTCGAACGAGCTCTGTCGAAAGAGCTCTAGCCGAACGAGCTCTAGTCGAAAGAGCTCTAGTCGAACGAGCTCTGTCGAAAGAGCTCTAGTCGAACGAGCTCTGTCGAAAGAGCTCTAGTCGAACGAGCTCTAGTCGAAAGAGCTCTAGTCGAACGAGCTCTGTCGAAAGAGCTCTAGTCGAACGAGCTCTAGTCGAAAGAGCTCTAGTCGAACGAGCTCTGTCGAAAGAGCTCTAGTCGAACGAGCTCTAGTCGAAAGAGCTCTAGTCGAACGAGCTCTAGTCGAACAACGAGCTCTAGCCAAACAACGAGCTCTAGCCGATCGAGCTCTAGTCGAACGAGCTCTCGAGCTCTCGCCGATCGAGCTCTCGCCTTAAAGACGATGAATAGAAATGCATTTTTTTGGCTTCTTTTATGTACATCACTTTTTCTGCATATTTCTACAACTTCATATTTTTATCTTCATTACCTTTGTAAGGTTTTTCAATTCAATTTATGCAAAGATTTCTCTTCATCCAGACGCTTTCTTTCTTTTTGTGAATCCTTGATGGAATGTAGCCGTATTTGATCGTTTTATTCGGCTTTCCGGGTTGACAATTACTGATCGATTGTTTAGAGAAATGAAAAGTTGCTTCCTACCTCAATCCTCAATCATCATTCAATGTGAGAGTCACAAGGCTGAGTCAAAATCGAGCTGATCGAATGGAAACTGGTATTTCAGCAAGATTAAAGGCCGAATTTGGGAAATAATGGAAATAAAATAATTGGAAAATGGGTGGGGACTCTGGAAGGAAGGAAGGAGTTCAACAAGTGACAATTGAACTCTTTGTACTCTTTTGACTTTGTAGATCACCAAAACATAGCTAAATTGAATTGAATTGAATTGAATTGAATTGAAAAACTAGAGTTTAAAAAGTACTCAAAAAGCTGACCATTCTGCATTCAATTCATTCATGACAGCTCTTTTTTTCTTCGATTTCAATTCATTTTCTGTTTTCTAAACGCTTTGAAAAGTGCTTTTCGTTGATTTTTTTCGCTGATTTCATTGATTTACATTAGATAAAATTGCTTGAAAAAGTCAAAACTTTTATTCCAATCATAAAACTATTTAAAAAATAGATTCAAGACAAAAGATGTAAGAGATTTTGTGAAAACCCGTAAGTGAAAAGTCGAGGAAACAAAAAAAAAATACAAAAAGATTCACCAAAAATCGGATTGCAAAACTTTCAGAAACAATTTGAGATCAAGAAAACTTAAAAATTCAAGCTAATTGATGAATTCTGGATGAGTGAGCTCATTGATCGAGACGCCACGTTCGTATTCCACCTGCAATTGTCTACTGTACTGTATTGTAAAGATTCTTGCGTAAAACTGAGGCTTTGTTTTACTTTTGAGGCTTTTGAGGCTTTGTTCTGTATATCTAGAGCAGGGATGGTCAGAAAGAAGCGGATCTGGTGCTGAGCTGGCCCTGGTTCAGCTAGATAGCATCCTGGCCCGACTAGATCGGATCCTGGGATGGCTAGATCGGATCCTGGGATGGCTAGATAGCATCCTGGTCGATTAGATCGGATCCTGGCCTGGCTAGATAGCATCCTGGTCGACTAGATCGGATCCTGGGATGGCTAGATAGCATCCTGGCCGACTAGATCGGATCCTGGCCCGGTTAGATTGGGTCCTGGCCGACTAGATCGGATCCTGGCCTGGCTAGATCGGATCCTGGAGGCCAGAATAGGCCCTACTTCTGGCTGACCTAATAAAACTTCAGGGCTTATTGTTAATCGTTTCTCAGGATTCCAAAGGCATTGACTGACCTGTCCAGGTCAGTCAATGCTAAAAGTCAGTATCAATCCTGGTCTTGCTTGGCTTTACCCATAAAAGTCCCAGATCTAGACCGGACTAGATCTAGCTTATCTTACGGATTAGAAGCTCTAGCAAATTTTGCTTGTTATTGGGTATTGGATGACCTGCGGAATCTTTGTGTAATTGATCGCATTGAAGAGCTCTCGTTTCAATGTTCGACGTTGATTTTCCTAAAGAAGAGCAACTTGAAAGCTTGTTAGACAAAAATCTAGACAAAGAGCTAATTTTGTGTGCTAATTTTATTAAGAATGTATCGGTAAAGCTGATAGCTTTACCTTTAAAATACAGAAGAAAGCCGCTGGTTGGTAGTCAATGTAGAGCTTGTGGGCGACGAGTTCTGGTCTGGAATCGATTTTAGATTGCCACGATATCTATCTTGATAATAAATTCTAAAGATAGGTATCATGGAAATCTAAAATCTTTCGAAACTCAACCTGTTAAGAAGATTGGGTAGATCTTTGACACCAAAGATACAAGATGATGCTGAGAGTTTGCCATAACATCCATTTCTGCCCCAGATTTGATATCGAGAAAAGTAGTAACGAGTTGGCGTATCGAATCGCGCTTGAAACGCATCTAAATGTTTGATTTGACTCCAGAAACAGATGAAGAAATACTTGTGCAACAGTACGAACTTTCCTTTCGACAGTATGCATTCATTTCCTTACAAACAAGACGAAATCAATTAATAGTGATTGAGGGTTCGGTACTAACGATGGTTATTGAGCATTTGACGCCGCATTTGACGTCATTTGACTCAAAAATGGCTCTCAAAAAGGGCCCTCAGCGGGCGCAAAAGGAGCGCGGCGCTTATAAAAGCTCCGTCGCCTCCTTTGCCATTGGCAATCCGACTTTAAGCTCAAATTTCTTGGTGTTGGGCTGTCCAATTGAAATATTTTTGGTATCATTAGATGCGCAAAGTGGGCGGGGCGCGGCGCGGCGCGTATAAAAGGTAAAAGGTAAACTAGAGTTGACAGTTGACAATAGCCGGAACACTTCTTAAGAAGACATTCGAATCGTATCTTAATCGGAACATTTACATGCCCATGGCAAAGTGGGCGGGGCGGGGCGCGTATAAAAGATCCCACAATCCCACAATCGTACGTACGGTCCGTCGCCCCGCTCCTTTTGCCATTGGCAAACTTTGAGCTTAAATTTCTTGGTGTTAGGCTGTCCAATTGTCCAATTCTTGGTATCATTAGATTCGCCAAGTTTTTCTCTATCGATTGGTATAAAAACTATTGAAATTGGACAACTGAGCGCTAAGAAATTCGAGATTAAAGTGATGGCAATGGGAAAGGGGGCGGGACCTCATGTATAAAAGGTCCCACAATCGCCCCGCCCCTTTTCCTTTGATGTTTAATTGTTATCTGTTTTGTTTATCTTTAAAAAAAAGTAAAATTTACCTGTACGACTCGAGTTTCTTTTCCGTTCTTGTGTCTTTTTCGTTCGCATCGCTTCTTTGACCTTGAGAAATTCATTTGCTGGAAGACCACCGGGCACTTTGAGCACTGAAATTTGCATAAACGTCTTTAAAGCTTGTTACTTGCTTGTTACTTGCTCCTGTTTCTTTTTTTACTTTCTCAATAGAATGAAAAATAACTTACCACTTGGATTTCCAGCCAATGTTGCCCAGAGTCCTTCATCAGGTATTCGAGAATTCCTCAAGAATTCTACTGTTTTATTAGCCTAAAAATGTTTCATGGAAATCTTGATTGTACCTTTTGCTATTGTATCTCAATATGGAAATCTCAATTCTACCTTTTCATCATTCACAAATATTCTCGCAGCTTCTCTTGGAACAAGAGCTGAGAGTGAGGATTTGTAGAGAGGAATTGGCGAATCGGAAGCCTAAATTAGTAAAAAGTCTAAAGGAATTAAGTTCTGAAGCAATTGGTAGATGAATAGCAAGTTCTGAAGCTCAGATAGATGAAAAGTTAGGTCTTCGACCTGGTTGGGGCTTTGCTTGGCTTTACGCTAGGCAAATAAAAGTCTTTAGAGTCTAGGCTAAGCCAAGAGCTGACTTCTATCCTGTTTTTGACTGCTTCTTCTGAATCGAAGTGTTCTCCCGCAAGCCCATGGCTGGAGCTGACTTCTGGCAAGGCTTAGGCTCAGGCTTAGGCTTAGGTTTAGGCTTAGGCTCAGGCTCAGGCTTAGGCTTAGGCTTAGGTTTAGGCTTAGGCTTGGCTTGGGCTCAGGCTTAGGCTCAGGCTCAGGCTTAGGCTCAGACTTAGGCTTAGACTTAGACTTAGGCTAACTTGCTTATGCTAGAGCTGGCCTAGCTTTGTCTGGCTCAGGCTCAGGCTTAGAATTAGACTTAGGCTAACTTGCTTATGCTAGAGCTGGCCTAGCTTTGTCTGGCTCAGGCTCAGGCTTAGACTTAGACTTAGGCTAACTTGCTTATGCTAGAGCTGGCCTAGCTTTGTCTGGCTCAGGCTCAGGCTTAGACTTAGACTTAGGCTAACTTGCTTCTGATAGAGCTGACCTAGCTTTGTCTAGCTCACAAACCCTAGAAGCCACTTATCCCCACTTATTCCCACTTATTCCCTGTTTATAAGCTTCTGATTTTTACCTTTTTTTCAGCAGTCAACCGTCTTGGCTGAAATGTGGACAATTCCATATTAATCGTTCCATTCAACGCTTTCAAAATTTGCACCATTTCCCAATTGGTTTTCAGTGGGATATCGACTCCAGAAAGGTACTAAGAATGATTTTTCAGATTCCTATGCGATCTAAACACTTACTTGATAATATTTCCATGTGTGATTTGAGTTTGTCGTCCATCGAAGACAAGACCAAACGGCGTTTACAATCGAGAAAGTACCCCAAGAGACTGGAGAGACTTCCTGAATAGAAAAAGTTATAGAAAAGATTATAGAAAAGATTATAGGGAAAATTATAGAAAAGATTATATTGGGTTGTCCAGTTATGAATGCGCGTTTTTACTATTTTGCAAATTTCTCAAGATATCGAACAGTTGTATATGAGTGTTATATATCATTCGAAAGCTGAAGATCTCCTCTACATTTTGACATAAAAACCTTTGGAATTTGTTGAGCTTTTGGGCAAATTGACTGCTGGAGAAGTCGTTTTCGAAAAAACCGATTTCAGTTTAGCTATTCCTCAAGTTTTATGGTGTAAAATAACCACCCAGAAAAGAAAAGAAAAGTAAAAATGCTCTGAAATTGTTATATTTTTAAAAAAAGTTATATTGATATATCTATTGGCCAAACATCAAACGGTTAACTCAATTTGAGCGGAGCCAAAACTTGATCCAAAGGCACCCTTTCATTTTTTTTGGCCACCTCTTCTTCTGTGCAGTCAATTTGCCCAAAAACTGAACAAATTCAGAAACTTTTTGTATCAAAATGTAGAGGAGATCTTCAGCTTTCGAATAATACTCATATATATCTTTTTCTTGATCTTGATCTTGATCGGTATCTTGAGAAATTAACAAAATAGTAAAAAACGCGCATTCATAACTGGACAACTCAATAGAAAAGATTATAGAAAACAATTATACAAAGAAAATTCATCTATTCTTACTATCGAATTTTGTTAACTTATCATAGCTTTTTAACTCGGCAAAATAGCCTATCTGATGCCTATTTTCAAGTTGATTTCGAATCTGATATCAGTTTTTGTCAAATGCTTCTCTATCGCGAGATATTTAGCATAAAAACCCTCATAAAATGAGCGAAAAAGAGTAAAAGAAAGGTTGCTTTAGATCGAGAGAGGACTCAAAGCCTCGAGATCCAGAAGGGCATCGGCCTGGCAGACACGCGCACCGTGTTGCGACCGCCAACATGGGACAAGGATGGCTCCTCTACCAGGACAACCTTTGCCTTTGAGTCTTTGCCCCAAGAGTCAGTTGCTTATGGGCCACACTATTCGACTTGCCAATGGAGGAAGTGTTCGAATACTCGGATGGTTCCGCGCGAATCGTGTTCAACTCGTTTCAGCTTCTCCATACAGCCCCGATTTGGATGTGATTGGACACCTATGGGCGTTTATCAAGACGAAACTCAAGGGAAGACGGTTTTAGCTCTAAGGCGGATCTTTGGTACTTCGTACGGTGAGTTTGAGTGGCAATTGCGCCACAAATTTTACGCGATCTAGTTGACAGTATGCCCCGGAGGCTCCAAGCGGTCATTGCACCTACAAAATATTGATTTTTCGCCTCTATTTATGTGCCGCCAAGACTTTTGTCTATTGTTTTTGTGACCTTTTTGTCTTTGACGCTTATTTTTGTTGTCTAAAATAAACTTTCGAGTTCAATGCTTGGTCATAGCTAAAAGTAGAGTAAAAATGCTCAAAAATACTTGTGACAACTTTTTTATAGCCTCTCGGGAAGGTTCCTAAATTTGCGTTTGAAAGTTGCCACCCAGGAGCCGCCAAGACTTTTGTCCATGACTGTATAATTTTAAACTTTGCGTTTAGATGAGTAGCTTGTCAACTATAGCAGATTTTATGGAAATGAATCATTGAAAAAGCGCTTAAAAGAGATTGGAAGAGCTTAGAAGAGCTTAGAAGAGCTTAGAAGAGTTTAAAAGAGCTTAGAAGAGCTTAGAAGAGTTTAAAAGAGCTTAGAAGAGCTTAAAAGAGTTTAAAAGAGCTTAGAAGAGTTTAAAAGAGCTTAGAAGAGCTTAAAAGAGTTTAAAAGAGCTTAGAAGAGTTTAAAAGAGCTTAGAAGAGCTTAGAAGAGTTTAAAAGAGCTTAGAAGAGCTTAGAAGAGTTTAAAAGAGCTTAGAAGAGCTTAGAAGAGTTTAAAAGAGCTTAGAAGAGCTTAGAAGAGTTTAAAAGAGCTTAGAAGAGCTTAGAAGAGTTTAAAAGAGCTTAGAAGAGCTTAAAAGAGCTTAGAAGAGCTTAGAAGAGCTTAAATTTTGCATTAAAGATATTGAGTATTGAAAAGTTTCCAAGATTTTCTATTGATTTTATTAAACTCACAAAAACGTGCACATTTGGTAGACATTTGCCCAGTTCGTTAAAGAGCTTTTTAAACTCTTTACTTGAGTGTCCATCAACGGCAAAACAATACAAGTTTTGCGGTTGATAAAATGAAGAAAGGGAAAAGAGGATCTGAAAAGACAATTTTAAACAATAAAAGCTTTTACAGTAATTTTTGAATTTAAAATGCAATACGGTTCCAATACGGTTCCAATACGGTTCCTATTTTGATCTAATACAGTTCCAATACGATTTCAATTTCAATTTCAAATCCAATTCAATTTCAAATCCAATTCAATTTCAAATCCAATTCAATTTCAAATCCAATTCAATTTCAAATCCAATTCAATTTCAAATCCAATTCAATTTCAAATCCAATTCAATTTCAAATCCAATTCAATTTCAAATCCAATTCAATTTCAAATCCAATTTAATTTTAAATCAATTTTTCTTCGACTCACTTGTACGGGATTTTTATAAACGACAAAGCCGTAAGCCAACGGGAAATCGGCTTCCTCTTTTGATAATGGAGTAACGCCGAAATGGAAACGAGAATGAAGAGCTGAGCATCTGAAATCAATCTGAAATCAATCTGAATTCAATCTGAAATCAATCTGAATTCAATCTGAAATCAATCTGAAATGGTTTCCTGGATTGCGAATCGATTTTTTTCTATTCATTTTATTGAGCTAACTATTGGATTGATGAATTGAAAACTGCCGGATTTTAAACTAAAATTTATTGAACATAAAACCATCAACCCATTCCATCAATCAATCAATAGTTTCCATTATTATTGACGACTTCTGCCCATTTTACAGGCAATTTGCTGATTCCTCTTTCGTGGTAGGGTTTTGGTTTGTGTGTGAGACAAGAGTGAGACTCAAAAATGGAGGACTGGAGATGTCGAGATGTCCCAGTTTGAGCATTTGAGCACTTTCTTCGAAAGAAACCCATTTTGGTGTCAATGGAAAAGTTGTAGAGAATCAAAAATTAGGCTTATAGCCAAATTTCCAAAAAGATACACTTAGTAGTTTCGCTTAAAATGCAAGTTTTGTTGCAAGTTTTGTGAAAATTCGTAAATTTGGCATTTCTTGAAAACCAGTTTTTGAATCGCTCTGAAAATTTGGATATAAGCCTAATTTTTGATTCTCTACAACTTTTCCATTGATACCAAAATGGGTTTCTTTTGAAGAAAGTGCTCAAACTGGGAGTCCTTCTCCAGTCAGTTTTGCAACATGAGGGCGCGCGTTGTCGTGGATGAGAACGATCTTTGACTTGGAGGGCCTATTCTTCTTCAAGGATTCATTCACCTTTCCCAACTGTTCACTGTATTTGATTGCATTAACGGTCGTCTTGCTATCCAGCAACTCTCAGTACACCACTCCCTCCATATCCCAGAAAACGCAGAGCATAAACTTCTTCTGGTGCAAATCGGGCTTAGGGTCACTTTCGGGCTTTGACCAAATCTGGATGGGATTCCCCGTTTAGCAACACTTGTTTATATCCGAACAAATAATATAAACTCACTTGTCGTCAGCTTCGTACAATTGTCGTTCATGGTATTGGTGATCGTAGATCTAAAATTGAGCACTTGTTTCTCTGAATATTAAAGCTATACTTGGTCTTTAGCTCTTTGAAAATCATTATAGCTTTAAATAGCTTTAAATTTAAAGCTTTTTGAGGAAACTATTGCTAGGGAAAGGCACCAGGTCAAGGACTTTTAGCACGAAAGCCACAAGCTGATTCTATAATCAGCCAGCTGATTATAGAATCAGCTAGATATCTACATACAAATAAACTATTATTTAACGTCTCTTTATAGATCTCTTTTACTATGTAAAAATGCGATTGATCTCTCAAAAATGCAAGAATTTCTAAGAGCTTTAGCTTCTAACCAGAGAAAGCTTATAAAGATAAAGCTTATAAAGATAAAGCGTATAAAGATAAAGCTTATAAAGACTCTGAAAATCGACCTAAACTTTGATTCCAGATATCTCGCGTTACAGAGCTCCTTCGAAAAAAGTAAAAGCATATTCAGAATCAGCATAGCCGACTCTATAAAGCTTTGTGACTCTAGTGCTAAAAAGTCACCTAGAGAAAGGCACCAGGTTTTCTCGAAGCTTTCGAAGAAGCTTTGCAACGTGAGATATCTGGCATCGAACAGCGAAATCGAACCGGGCCAAAAGAAACTTTGAACCATTTTGGCTGCAAGCCCCTCTTGCTTTATCTTTATAACCTTTGTCTTTATAACCTTTATCTTTATAAGCTTTCTCTAATTAGAAGCTAAAGCTCTTAGACACTCTTGCATTTTTGAGAGATCAATCGCAGTTTTACATAGTAAAAGAAATCTTTAAAGAGACGTTAAATAATAGTTTATTTGTATCTAGATATCTATTTAATTGTAAATAAAGAAAGACTACAAGATGCCATAAAAGATGTCAAGATCCACTCAAAAACTCTCACTCACCCAATTCTTGTAAAAACTCGTTGCTTTTTCATCATTTTTCAAAATTTCACCACAATCCAAATCGATTCGATCAAGAAGGTTTAGAGAATTTTTCTCGAATTCCTTCTTTTTCAAGCATTGAGGTGAATCGAAATGTGACCTAGAAGATTCAGATTTCTCGAATAGCTGAGTTGATGCCTATTTTAAGCAACAACTACACTCTGTCAAAAAATTATAGACGCCCCCTGTTTTTTGCTAGTTTAGAGCCTGATATAAGTGCTAGTCCAGTGAAAAGGATTTTTTAGTTTCTTTAATGTAAAAAAACAACCCATGCAAAATTTCAAGTCATTTCACTCATCCAAAGTACTTTATCGTACAAAAAACGTTTTATCAGCTGTCAAAAAATTATAGACGCACTTTTATTTGACGATTTATTCTATCGATAATTGTTAGTTTTTCTCATTTTTTTTGCTTATTAGTTATGTTTATAAATGTTTTTACATTTTCAGGTATGCCACTTGGAAAACAACTGGATGTGGTGGAAAAAACGCGTATCGATGTGCTCCACACGCTTGGTCACTCAAACAAGGACATTGCTCGTCGCATCGGACGTTCTGAGAAGTGTATTCACACGTATCTCAAGACCAGAGTGACTCCTAAGAAGAAAGAAACACGGGGCCGGAAGAAAAAGTTGACCGATCAAGACGAACGCGCAATTACGAGACGTCTTTCCAACACGACGACATCACTCGAAGAGGTTCACAAGGAGATGAAGCTTCCGGTCACTCGCCAAACTGTGCACAACGTTGTCAAACGATCTACAATACTCAAATACAAACTCATGAAGCAAGCTCCACGACTTACAAAGGACCATAAAGCCGCCCGTATCGATTTCGCTCAAAAGAACCAGAAGAGCAAATGGGAAGGAGTTGGTTTACTAGTATTTCTTATATATTATAAATCGTCAAATAAAAGCGCGTCTATAATTTTTTGACAGCTGATAAAACGTTTTTTGTACGATAAAATATTTTGGATGAGTGAAATGACTTGAAATTTTGCATGGGTTGTTTTTTACATTAAAGAAACTAAAAAATCCTTTTCACTGGACTAGCACTTATATCCGGCTCTAAACTAGCAAAAAACAGGGGGCGTCTATAATTTTTTGACAGACTGTATTATGTTGGCAAGTTATAAACCATCGTTTTTTACCGATTACCTATTCATTAACCCATTAAAAACTTGCCTAAAGGCTGGTCACTCAAAAAGTAATCAAAACACTTCAACTGAAGAAATCTCTTATTTTTACCTAAAGCCCACTGATTTTTTCGTCAAAATTCGAGATTTGTCAAGATTTTTTTGAAAATAGTCAATTTTATGAAAAAAGTCATTTTTAATTCACATTTTCAGTAACATTTTCACATTTTCAAAGGATTTTCATCAAAGACTCACATCATTTCATAGTAATATCCCCGAAAGCACAGCCACATCAAGAGCAATGCGATTACTATGCAAATTTTCCTCTTAACCCTCGTCATCCACTTCGGAAATGGCTGAAAAAGTTTTATAAACAGAAATATTGTTGAAAATGTTTTAATTTGAAATGCTAGTCTAGAATTTAATGCATATTTAGTAGTCAAGAAGGTTTTTTTTTTCATTGATTCGATTAGAATCTCTTTTCGATGTTTAAAAACGATTTCAAGGCTTAGATAACTTACAAAAAGTGATCTAGACTTTAAAATAAAGAACACATTTAAGAATAAAGTTGGAAATAATTGATAGAATAAAATTCTAGAATAAAAAAATAACTTGCAACCTTTTTTCGAGAAAATTCTGAGTTGGCGCTTTAAATTGTGGTAAAACTACCGTACTCCTCATAAAAAAGACAGCAAAAAGACACGAAATTTCATTTTTTTATTTTTCTCCATTTCATTTTATTCTTTTTTCGTTTTTCTGATGTGTTTACGTTTGTTTTTGCAGGAAAAAAAGAGGAAAAGATTAGGTACGTTTTTAACATCATTTCATTTGGTAGAAGCTTTGTTTATAGAGTTTTTTAGATCCACTTGCTTCTCAACGATCTACTTTATAAACTTGATGCCAACGAATGCTAAGTTAAGTGCTTTTTATCATTTTCTATAGCAGAAGCTTTGTTTATAGAGTTTTTTAGACCTACTTGCTTCCCACTTGCTTCCCACCGATCTACTTTATGAACTTGATGCCAACGAATGCTAAGTTAAGTGCTTTTTTACAATTTCTATAGCAGAAGCTTTGTTTATAGAGTTTTTTAGACCTACTTGCTTCCCACTTGCTTCCCAACGATCTACTTTATGAACTTGATGCCAACGAATGCTAAGCTAAGTGCTTTTTAACATTTTCTATAGCGGAAGCTTTGTTTTTGTGACTTTTTAATCGCACTATCTTTTGTACTTGCAAATTAGAAGGGGTACGATAGTTTTACCACGCTTTAAAGTGTCAACCCAGGATTTTTTCGGAAAAAGGTCGCAAATAAATAATTTTTAGCATATTCTCTATTTTTTTTTCATTGATTCGATCAGAATCTCTTTTCGAAGTTTAAAAACGATTTCAAGGCTTAGATAACTTACAAAAAGTGATCTAGACTTTAAAATAAAGAACATATTTAAGAATATAGTTGGAAATAATTGATAGAATAAAAATAACTTGCAACCTTTTTCCGACAAAATTCTGGGTTGGCGCTTTAAAGTGTGGTAAAGCTACCGTTTAACAGCATTTCATGTGGTAGAAGCTTTGTTTATAGAGTTTTTTTAGACCTACTTGCTTCGCAACGATCTGCTTTATGAAATTGATACCAACGGATGCTAAGCTAAGTGCTTTTTATCATTTTCTATAGCGGAAGCTTTGTTTTTGTGACTTTTTAATCGCACTATCTTTTATACTTGCAAATTAGAAAGGATATAGTAGTTTTCTTCCCAGATTTTTTCATAAACGACTATATTTCAAAAAATCTGACAAATCTCGAATTTTGACGAAAAAATCAGAGTGGGCTTTAGGTAAAAAATAAGAGATTTCTTCAGCTGGAGTGTTTTGATCACTTTTTGAGTGACCAACCTTTAGACAAGTTTTTAATGGGTTAATGAATAGGTAATCGGTTTCATTCAAAACCAAATCAAGTACTTAAAACAGAAAATTTGCGATTAAAGGAAATTTTATCTAATGCTTTAACTTCTTATAACTTTAATGGGCTAATGAATAGGTAATGGGTTTCATTCAAAACTTAAAATTAAGTACTTAAAATAGAGAATTTGTTGGAAGAAGGGATATGGTAGTTTTACCACGCTTTAAAGCGCCAACCCAGGATTTTCTCGGAAAAAGGTCGCAAATAAATAATACTGTTTTTAGTGTATTCTCTATAGAAATGTACTTTGTGCTTAAATCTATAAACGGACTCTTTCTGGTGCACTCAATTCTATTTTTAACGATTTAGCAAGAGGAAATGCTCGGAAAGGGTGAGTTTAAAGTTTAAAGAGTTTAAAGCAAAAATCAAAGCAAAAGTACACTTTAAGGAGAAATTTTAAAATTTATCTAAAGAAATTTGTCAATTAGGAAATCTGTAAAAGAAAACTCACTTTTCTAGTTTTTCTGGACATTTTACGACAATATTATAAAAGTTTTAAGACAATATTTAAATCATAAAAGCTTAAAAGTTTAAAGTTAAAGTTTGAAGTTTAAAGTTTAAAGTTGAGTTAAAATTAAGTTAAAATTAAAAGATCTAAAGCCTCAAAACTTTCCAAAACTTTCTTCTCATTTTCTACAAAAGTTTCCCATCTTGATTGAACTAGTTATCTTTTTTTGGAGAAAAGAATGATTCATTTCTCTCTCTCAAAAGCCTCAAAAAGGAATCTTTTGACGAAAAATCAAAAAAAAGAAAGAAAAACTCTCGAACTACCATAGAGACAATTCGTTAGATACGGATTTTTAGAAGAAAAATTGCCTTTAATTATTGGAAATGTTCTAAAGTTCGAAATTCGAAATGTTCTAAAGTGTACTTTGTGCTCATAAAAGCACCACTTCTAGTCCACTGAATTCTCCATTTTTCTCGAGACATTAAGGCTCTAATCAAGAAAAATTGGGGATTCAGTGCGCGAGGAAGGGTGAGTTTATGAGTGAGCAGTACGCAAAGCACAAGATTGTCATGGTGCAATTGATCATGACAATCTCGTGGCCAAAGTACACCATATAAAGCAGAAAGTCATATTTTCTGCAGTTGTTTTATAGATAAAATAAATTTGAAAGCCATGTGGATTTCATGGATGGAAATCTCCATACAAAGGGATCATTTTGATTGAATTCCTATTCAATTTTTTGTGAAACCTCATGAAAGAGCCGTTTTTTATTTTTAAAAAAATACGTCTTTTATATTGGATTGGTGAATTGAAAACTGCCGGACTTTGAACCAAAATTTATTGAACATAATTGAATTATTGAATGATTGAACATAAAACCATCAATTCATTCCAAATGATTTCCATTATTATTGACGAATTCTGCCCATTTTACAGGCAATTTGCGGAGTAGGATTTTGGTCCTCTTTCCTAGTAGGATTTTGGTTTTGAATCGAAAAACTTTCAAAGCCAATTTTTGACTGCTTCTTCCGAATCGAAGTGTTCTCCCGCGCAAGCTCATTACTCATGATCCGGAATAAATAGTAATCAAAAGATTCGGACTGTATGGGGAATGCGCCAAAAGCTCCCAAACAAAGCTATTTATTTTAGAGCTAGTCAGTTTTGCAACATGCAACGCGCGTTGTCGTGGATGGGAACGATCTTTGACTTGGAGGGCCTATTCTTCTTCAGGGATTCATTCACCTTTCCCAACTGTTCACTGTATTTGATTGCATTAACGGTCGTCTTGCTATCCAGCAACTCCCAGTATCCCAGAAACCCAGAGTACTCCTTCCATATCTCAGAAAACGCAGAGCATAAACTTCTTCTGGTGCAAATCGGGCTTAGGGTCACTTTCGGGTTTCTAACCCCCTTTCAGCTGGTTCAATGCTGTTGTTTTTTATCTGCGAAATAGCTCGCAGTTTTCAATTCACCAATCCAATGGATAAAATATCTATTTTATATTTTATCTATAAAACTTTAAAAATTCAAGATTTAAACTACAGTCGACTCTCTCTATAACAGAACTTTATATAGCGTAATTATTTATTTTTTGTTTCATGCTAGGATTCTTGTTTTAAGTTGCCTTAACGATTTTTTGTTTCTAATTATAATTTTTAAAACCCGGACTTTCAAATATGGACAAAAAGAAAATGAGGACGGAAATGAGCAAATGAGGATTCTTTTTATGATTTCAAACTCGAGCATTCAGCAAAAAATACAGCCGAAAACATCAATCGTGCGTTTAGACAAGGCACTGTATCGGTTCGCACTGTGCAAGCTTGGTTCAAGCGATTCCATGAAGGAGATGAGGATCTTGAAGGATAAGAAGAGCCGCGACCGCCCGCGACTACTTGACAATGAGGATTTGAAGCGTTTTTTCAAAGCTGCTCAATGGACTACGGTGTTGGAGCTTGCTAAACACTTCGATGTTGGAGTTATGACAGTTAGCGATCATTTAAAAGATATTGGCAAAGTAAAGAAGCTCGAGAAATGAATTCTACCAGATGGATGAAGCGGATGAAGTGGATGATAATTCTGATGAAACAATTCAAAGTCAAGGAGATCTTTTAGTCGCGGCAGGACGATTTGACGAGGCCTACAATTTCTCGGATTTTATAGATGTTGATGAGGATGAGGACTGGAATATTTTTCACTCAGCACACCACCAAAAGAAGTTGAAGAAAGCGAAGTTGAAGAAAGTTGAAGAAAGCGACGATGACGACAACTTTGAACCTTCAATTATTACCATACAAGTTGCTGGCAAAGCTGTTGGAATTTTTAGAGCAAAACGGCACCTCTAAAGCTATGGAGTTTGCGGAGAAAATGAAAGAATGTTTTGACGTTTCGCCTTCACCATTCTCAACAAAGCAAGATAACGAATTTTTGCAATTTTTTAAAGTTTAGTTTAATTTAGTTTAACAAAATTGGTACAATTGCATTGTTTTTATTATGAATTTATTATAAATAAATAAAGCATTTACCGTAAATACTGTAATTGAACCCCACCGTCCTCGTACAGTCGCGTAGTCGCCAAAGTTTTTTAGTATTTTATTGTTTTTCAAAGCGTCCGTACTTTCAAAAAATGCGTCTTTGGTATCAAAAAAATAGCCCTGAGATCTCAGGGCTATTTTTTGATACCTAAACGTACATTATAGCATAAACCAGTGTCGAGAAAAACTCGTTCAAAGCTAGACTACGCAACACTCCGCACCGTCATTACTGGGGATGGGGTCCAATTACAGTATTAACGGTAAGTATCTTAGGATCAAAGCACCTCTGGTAGGAAACTCGGCAGTTTAACATCAAGAAATTTGAGCTCAAAGTTAGATTATCAAAAGGGGCGGGGC